GTGATTTGTTTTCGAACGGCGGTATTGGCGGTGTGGACTAGCCCGGGGGCGCCGCGCCGCTGCACAGTGGGCTGAAAGACCGGTGGAGGCAGTCTAAATCCTAGACGCGTTTTGAGCTCTGGAGTCGCTGAATGGGACTGGGACCGAACGTGTCACCCCACCAATGGATTTTGCTCTCCGAAAGAGGAATCCATTAGGTGGGGTGACCTGTTCGGTTCAAGTCCCGTTTAGCGACGCTGGAGCTCAAAACGCGTCTAGAGTTCTGGCCGCCTGCGCCGGTCTTCTGGCCCACTGTGCGCTGCGCCGGCGTGCCGCGGTCCCTTGTGCGTGCGACGGAGACAGAGCGTCGGCCACACCGGCCGCTTTGATGTGCTGGATCTGCTGGAAGCTGCTGGAGCGGCTGGAACGTCGCACCGTAACATACTGTATATTGCACCTCATGAAGCAGCCTGCGTCCGCAGCGTCCGCAGTCTGGTGCACTGCCAAGCACGCCTCGCTTCCCTTGGCTTGCAGTTCGCATCGCCAGCAGACCGATTCCGAGAGTCGTTTCCGGCGCTCTGTCTCTCGCGCCGCCATCGCGGACGCCCCGTGCGTGCGAGGGAGACGGAGCGACGAAAACGACTCTCGGAATCGGTCTGCGGGCGGGATGGAATCAGATAACCGAAACTAACTGAACTGACCACGCGCGCGCCAGAGTCACCCACACCCCCGCGCCACTGACCGTGCCCCCCCCCCCTCTCCCCCTCCCACTCATGCGGCACGGACACGCGTCACCACGCCGGCCGGCCGGCCGCCCAACGCGCTAAAATTAGGAGTAAAATTCATGAGGCGCATTAAGTGACGGCTTTGAGGGCGGCCATAGTGCCAGCAGACTGATTCCGAGAGTCGTTTTCGTCGCCCTGTCTTTCTCGCACTCACGGGGCGTTCCGTATAGGTGCGAGAGAGACAGAGCGACGAAAAGGACCCTCGGAATCGGTCTGCAGGGAAGTGCCGGACCGGGGCCACGCGCCAAGCGCCACGCCACGCACCACGCACCACGCCACAGTTCCAGGCGGTTGTCCCTCTCGCACTCGCGGGGCCTTCCCCTCCCCACGGCGGTGCGAGAGAGACAGCGCGACTCGCCTTTGTGGAATGCCGCGACGGATCGCGACCCTCGCTGTCGTCGCTCCGCTGGTCCACTGCACGGAGCACCTTCACAATGAAGCTATCGAATATTTTGGAAAATATTTTGCTTTCTAATAACAACAGCGCGGAACAGCGGGTTGTTATCGGGGGCTTATTACTCCAGGAAAACGACCTCCTGGGAGCGGAAGGGCGATGGAGGCACGTGCGTGGCGTGGCGTGGCGCGGCGTGGCGTGGCGTGGCGTGGCGCGGCGTAGCGTGGCGTGGCGTGGCGTGTCGGAGCGGCTCGCCATACGCAAAATTGGCTCCCCATAACCCTTTAACGCCGTGGGCCGTGCCGTGCCGTGCTGAGCCATTCCCGCTGAAAGGTCTACGGAGCCTTCCGTTAGCTGCTCTGAGCCGACCTAGTCCGAAGCACCACGCCGTCGCGTCGTCTCTGTCGCACTCGTGGGGCATCCCGCAGGACCCGTAGGGGTCGGACGGAGAGCGACGGACGGAGCCTTGGTGCGCTTCTGTCCGAGGGAACGCTGCGTCTAGTCGTCGGCCGACGCACAGTGGGCCAGAAGACCAGTGCAGGCGGCCAAAACACTTGACGCGTTTTGAGCTCCAGAGTCGTTAAACGGGACTCGAACCGAACGTGTGACCCCACCAATGGATTTTCTCTTCGAATGAGGAATCAATTGGTGGGGTCACACGTTCGGTTAGTCTCCCGTTTAGCGACTCTGGAGCTGAAAACGCGTGTAGAGTTTTGGCCGCCTCCGCCGGTCTTCTGGCCCACTGGGCGAGGCGGCCGAGGCGAGCCGGGGGGCAAGTTTTGCATCGCGCGGCTGAATTTTTCATCCGAGTTGTTGTGGAGCGGAGGCAAGCCGAGGCGGGGCGGCACTGCGCCGTAAGGGAAGACCCGTGTTTTGCAGCGCTGGGAAGGAATGAAGCTTTATGCGTTGGCTGCTGGCAGGCTGCCGCTGGGCCGCGGGGGCAAGGGCCGGCCGTGCCTCTGTCTCTCTCGCACTCGTGGGCCGCCCCGCCCGGCCCGCAGGGTCGCAAGAGAGACAGACAGAGCGACGCTTCCCTGCCCGGATACAGACTGCAGTGCAACACCTCCGCGCTGCCTGCCGCCCGCGTCCGCAAAGCGTCTCGTCGCTCTATCTCTCTCGCACCCGTGAGGCGCTCCGCGGCGACGAGAGGGAGACAGAGCAACGGAGACGCTCCACGACAGCCGTCGACGGAGAGAGCGCGCGCGCCGGACTTTCGGCCTTTGCGAATATTTAATACAACTCGCGAACAAAGTTGCCGCAAGCAGCGCCGATCTGCACGGCGCACCAGGGAAGTCCAGCAGCCCTTCAAACCGCCCGGGGAGACGCGGGGGCAACGCGGCGGCAACGTGGGGAGAGGTTTACCCGGCCAGAAGACCGGTGGAGGTCGTCAAAACCCCGGACGCGTTTTCAGCTCCAGAGTCGCTAAATGGGGCTCGAACCGAGCGTGTGACCCCACCAATGGATTCTCTCGGAACAAGGAATCCATTGGTGGAGTCACACGTCCGGTTCGAGTCCTGTTTATACTCTGGAGCTCAAAACGCGTCCAGAGTCTTGGCCGCACGCGCCGGTCTTCTGGCCCACTGAGCCCCAGCGGGGACCGTGGGCAGGTATCCAGGCCCAGGACGACCCAGGCAGGAATGTGCCGGACAGGCGGGGGATGCCAAATTGAGGGAAGCGCGCGGGGGTTCAAAAGGTTCCGACGCAGGCGGCCCGGGCAATATTGAGTATCGCGTAATTTGGGAAGCAGCAGCCTCTGCAGACTGATTCCGAGAATTGTTTTCGTCGCTCGGTCTCTCGCACCTATACGGCCAGCTTCCCGGCCCCAGGACGCCGTCGTCTCTCCCCTGCCGAGGCGGAGTCTTGGCGGACTAGAATTCGTCTCCTTTTGGTGGGAGGGGCGTGATTTGCCAACGGCTTGCTCTCGGCGAATCGAACCGAGCGATGATTTCACTCCGTCTCTCTCGGTCTTACGTCTTCCTATTTCCTCCTCCTCCTCCTCCTCCTCCTCCTCCTCCTCTCGCCTCTCCGAGGGGAACAAATTTTCTTGACGCACATTTCCATCCCCGGCCGTCTTGGTCCCCACACTGCCTTTATGCGGTGCACGCGCATACGGACAGACAGACAGACAGACAGACAGACAGACAGACAGACAGACAGACAGACAGACAGACAGGCAAACAGACAGAAGGAAACGCCTGCGAACCTCGAGGTAGGCAGCGCCGCAAAACCCCGGCGGTCTACGGGACTGCATACCTGCCAGGCGCTCCCGAAACGCCTGCGAACCTCGAGGTAGGCAGGGCCGCAGAACACCGGTGCTCTACGGGACTGCATACCAGCCAGGCGCTCTCCCTCGGACAGGCAGTTGGACAGACAGACAGACAGACAGACAGACAGACAGACAGACAGACGGGCGGGCACACAAACATACACGCACACCCGCAGGTGACAACGTCTCTTGTTGACCTCTTCCTCGCCGCCCCGCAGCAGCCCGCAGGCTCGTTTGCCGAGAGTCAGTCGACCGGATATCTGAAATGAGAAACAACCACATCACAAAAGATCTTCCCCACGCCTTCTTTGTGCGACTGTGTGTGACTGTGTGGGTGTCTCCGCGTGTGTGGGTGGAGGGGTGGGCTGAACCTGATCGCAACCAACCCCGTCGCGGCCCCCGCCGCCTTCGCGGAATAGACGCAAGAGCGATTGCGACATAGTGCCAAAGGAATGTGAGGGGTCGGGGCGCAGTCACAGCGCCAAGCCCCCACCTGTCTGTCTGCCTGTCCGTCCGTCCGTCCGTCCGTCTGTCTGTCTGTCCGTGCGTGCAGGCGTGCCAAACGCTCCGCCTTCGCGACCTGCTCCTCATTGAGATGTGCATGTTTCCCCGCCTAGCGCGGACCGTGCTCTTTTTGCCTTTATGAGGTGCTACAAGTGGCGCTCTGACAGGTGTGCCGGGGTCGGGCCGACGGGGGCGGCCGACGGGGGCGGCCGATGGGGCCGGCCGACGGGGGCGGCCGACGGGGCGCCGGCCGACGGGGCGGCCGACGGGGCGGCCGATGGGGGCGGCCGACGGGGCGGCCGACGGGGCGGCCGACGGGGGCGGCGACGGGGCGGCGAGGGCGGCCGACCGGAGGGCGGCCCATGGGGCGGCCGACGGGGCGGCGAGGGGCGGCCGACGGGGGCGGCCCGCAGTCCCTGAAGGCATTCTCCCGGACAGCGTCGCTCTGTCTCTCTCGCACAGCTACGCAACGCCACCCGCGCGGGAGAGAGACAGAGCGACACTCTTCGAGAGCACGGCGCTGGCGGCGGGGGGCGGCAATATCCCTTGTCGCTGTGTACCCTCGGCGCATGTCGCCCCGTGTCCCCCGCTGGGGGGCGGGACTCAAGGTGGGCGACGCGTTACCAACATTACCATTTAAATTTCCCGCCTCGCTGCTAGATTAATGCGTCAGGGGCCCCGCCCTGCCTTTCACATGCAGTTTTCAAATTTCCCTGATTGGCTATTCTGGCTTCTGGGAAGGAGGCGCCTCGTGCATCTTGAATGAGCGTGTGTGTTAGTGTGCTGCAGGCGGCCGACGCACAGTGGATTTGCCAGAAGACCTGCTCAGGCAGCCAAAACTCTAGAAACGCTTTGAGCTCCAGAGTCACTAACCAGGACTCGAACTGAGCGTGTAACGTGACCCCACCAATAGACTGCTCTACGAACGAGGATTCCATTGGTCGGGTGACACGTTCAGATTCGAGAGCGTCTGGAGTTTTGGCCGCCTCCACCGATCTTCTGGCCCACTGTGCGCCTTGTTGGCCACCCTAGAATGAGCGTCTGTGTGTTGCACGCGTTGCACGTGTTGCAGGCGGCGGCGTGTTGTTGGCCACCCTAGCGGCGGTGCTGCTGTGCGCGACGGTGCGCTGCTCGGCGGCGGTGGGCGGCAGCCACGGCAGCGGCACCACGGAGGGCGGGCTGACCAGGCCCCTGCGGCCCGCCGTCTTCCACACCCCCGAGGAGCTGCGCCACTACCTGGACGCCGTGTCCAACTACTACGCCGTCGCCAGCCGGCCCAGGTACGCAGTACTACGCACGATCCCTGCCGCACTCGGGGGCGGCCCGGGTGTGCGAGACACACAAAGCGACACAGTGTTCCGGCACAGCTCTGCTGTGGGAACCACCCCACAGTGGGCCAGAAGACCGGGAGAGGCGGTCCAAATCCCGGACGCGTTTCTAGCTCCAGAATCGCTTAATAGGACTCGAACCGAAAGTGTGACTTCATCAATGGATTCCTCGGCATCCATTGATGGGGTCGCTCGTTTGGTTCGAGCACCATTTAGCAACTCTGGAGAAATGCGTCTTGAATTTTGGCCGCCTCCACCGGTCTTCTGGCCCACTGTGCGCCGGTCCTCTCTCTGTGCACCCCCACCTCAGTGGACTCCTTCTCATGCAAACACTCCTTTCTTTGCAGTCGCTACGGCAAGCGGTCCTCGCAACACCTGTCGCGGGGCGCGTTGCGCCGGGAATCGGTGCTGGACTCGCTGGCCAACGCCGAGCAGGCCATGGAGGCCGAGAGCGTGGACGCCGTGCCCGACTACCTGTTCCAGTGAGTGTGTGCGCCTTGTCCGGGCCTTGTCCGCCCCCGCCGGATGTGTGCGCTGGCGCGGCTCGCCCCGCTGGCAAAGCAAGCGGGGCGAGCGAAGCAGCGCAGCAATGACAGCAACGTAGCGTTCTACGTGGCGTCGCCGCCGCGTCGCCGCGTCGCCAAGGGCAGTGCGACGTTCCGCGCAGGACGGACGGACGCATCTCCATAATCATTTCGGAAAGCTGCTTTTACAACGTGCGTCGTCGTGCGTGCTCGGAGCCACGCTGGCTGGCGGCTGGCCCTCTCTCTTTCTCTCTCTCTCTCTGTCGGAATGAGCCCACTGCTGCGCCCTGACCCTACGCCCTCAGCCCGGCGGCCGAGCCACCACCGCAGGGGGCCCCCGAAGGGGCCGCCCCTTGGTGGGAGAGAGAGAGAGAGAGAGAGGGAGAGACAGACTCCTTAGTGGGAGAGGAGAGACCGACCATAAACACGGGTATACCATATGTCACCTCATCATCCGCCCCTTTTCTTTCTGCAAACTCTCTCCGTCTCTCTCTGTTCCCCGTCCGTCCTCCCTCCCAGACGTCACGCCCCCTCGCCTCCCACCGGCGCACAGTGGGCCAGAAGACCGGTGAAGGCGGTCAAAATCCCGGACGCGTTTTGAGCTCCAGAGTCGCTAAATGGGACTTGAATTGAACGTGTGACCCCACCAATGGATTGCTCTCCGAACGAGGAATCCATTGGTGGGGTCGCAAGTTCGGTTCGAGTCCTGTTTAGCGACTCTGGAGCTAAAATAGCGTCCAGAGTTTTGGCCGCCGACGCCGGTCCTCTGGCCCACTGTGCGCCGTCCCTGCGGCGCGCCACTTCAAACGATAATCTGGCCAATCCGCTTCGCGGCGCTCGGCTTTCCTGCGCGCACTTTCAATTTTCCCGCCAAAACCGCCTTTTGTTTGGCGCGGCCTTTTGTCCGCCTCGCGGCTGCGCCCGTTATTGCTTCTGGCAACATTGATTGGCGGCTTCGACAGTCGTCGGCCGTTTCTCTCTGAATGAAGAGCAGTTGAGAGACTCGTCGCAGAGTCGCCGGGAGCGCCTCTCCCCCGGCTTAGGTTAGGTTAGCTTTTAATTGGGCTTTTGAACGCTTTGGAATCCAAGGAAGCGCGCCGCCCACGCCGCGCCGCCCACGCCGCGCCGGCCGTGAGACCCCACAGTCTCACAGGCGCACAGTGGGCCAGAAGACCGGTGGAGGCGGTCAAAATCCCGGACGCGTTTTGTGCTCCAGAGACGCTAGATGGGACTCGAACCGAACGTGTGACTCCACCAATGGATTTCCCTTCCAACGAGCAATCCATTGGTGGGGTCGCACATTAGGTTCGAGTCTTGTTTAGCGACACTGCGGTTCACAACGCACTCAGTAAGTGCGACAGAGACAGAGCTACAATTTAAAATGTGTTTCTGCGTCCAGGTTCGCCCCAGGCCCGGCGCCCTCCCCGGCGAGTGACGTGTACCCCCTGTTCCTGGACCAGGAGCGTCTTGAGCGCCTTCAGTCCCGCGGCAACCAGGACTGAAGAGTCTGCGTCGTGCTGCAAGCGCCATTTCTCCTTCATTTGTTTAATTTAAATGTGTCTTGTCCATAAATATGAAAAAGGTAGAATATGTTGGGTGGGGAAAAAATGTAATTCATCTATAACTTTAATGTAAGCAGCTGCTTTTTCTTCTGATTCGGTGAACTGAGCTGTGGAGTCACCTCCTCTAACATTTGGCATGTAGTGACTTTGTGGCGAAAAAAAAATTACCGATGATTTTGTTGTGGTAGTGATTTTTTGTCAGGACCCGCTAGTGTGGCTGGAACTGCGGAATCCTCGACGTCTTTCGTGTTGCTCACGGGAAAATCCCTGTCGAACGGTTGGCCACATTGTCGCTTGCAGTAAGGTAGTGTTCAGTGCAGCCCAGTTCTGCTCCTCTTCCAGTGCAAGAGAAGGACCCAGTGTGGCCACGCCACAACCTGCCAAAAAAAAATGCTTGTCTCTGTTTAGTTTTCAAGAAAAGGGTGGTGTGTGGACATGCTCTTTTGCATTGCGAGACTGAGCAGAAATGCTTTAGAATCCAACAAAAAAGAAAAGGCTTAACACATCCTTAGATCAAGATTTTGTCTTGAGTGTTTTTTCGTTTTAGTATTGATAATCTCTTTTGTTTTGTTTTAAAATTACGTCGAATGCTGTAGAGTCCGGATGACGGTGTTACTTCGTTCCCTGAGACCGGTCACACGTCTGCTGTTAACGAAAAATATTCTAATTTAAAATAAATAACTAGTGTAAGTTGTTCGGATAGGAGCAAGGTAGATTCCTTATTATTGGTCATTCTCTATTCATATGATTTGGACTGTAGTTGATTTTAAAACCAAATAATACAAACACAATTAGAATTCCCCTTTTCCGATGTTATGTTATTTCGAACCCTCCATCTGTCCAGCAGTAATTCCCCTGTCGTATTGTTAGCTCAACTTTGTGTATAGATGTACATAGTAGGTCTGTGTAAATTTCAGTGATGAATAATAAACACGATGGTGAAATAAGAAGAGCTGACTTTTGCTAACTTGAGCCGTGATACCACGAGATGTAAGCGGAGCCTCCTTCTGGGATACACCCAATTCACTCTGCCCGCCCGGCGAGCCGCCCCGCAGTGGAGGCGGCCAAAACCTCTAGACGCGTTTCGAGCTCCACAGTCACTAAATGGGACTCGAACCGAACATGTGACCCCTACAATGGATTGCTCTCCGAACGAGGAACCCATTGGTGGGGTCACACGTTCAGTTCGAGTCCCATTTAGAGACTCGGGGGCTCAAAACGTGTCTAGAATTTTGGCCGCCTCCACCGGTCTTGGCCCACTGTGCGCCTTGTCCTAGTTCGAGCGATGCGCGCATCGCGAGTCTTGTCTGCGCTCAGCCAATATTGCACTTTCAAATTTCCACCAAGTCAGGAAGCACAAAAGTGATTCCGCTGACTGTCCGCACCCCACCCCTTGTTAATTACTTGCAGACGTACACTCAGGGCGAGAGTGGCCGGGGAGGGGGGGGGGCTACCTTCTTCCGCTAGCTGCCCTACTTCCCGGAGTGCCTTCCGGGAGTCAGGTCGTGTTTGAATTTAATTTTCGTTTCACGGTTTCACCTCGTTGACGGCCAGCCACAAATTGCGCTCGTGGAAGGCCGGTCGGCAACTCGACAACCTAAGTACTCTCACGTTGTTCCTCACGTGCGAGTACTGCGTAGAAGCTCCTCGGAGATACCCCTTGCCGCGGATTCAGGGCATCCCCTGCAACGTAGATACTCCGTGCCGTGGAGCGCGCGAACGCAGTTCGCTCGCAGCTTGTGGCGCCACCTGTTGGTAAAACGAGGAAACGAAACGGGGCTGCATAACCTCACAGCTAGCTGTCTGCTGTCTGCCGGCTCAGCTGTTTGTTTGTTGTTGAAAACGAGGAAGCAGTATTTCGTGCTGAATGTCATTTGGCTTGACGTATCACAGGAGAGCCGAAACGAAATAGCAATCACAAATCGTGAGCAGTTAAATGCAGCCAAGCTCCCGAGTTTATCGAAAAAAGTCACAAAATGAAAGGCACCATTCAGAGAGTAGTGAAGGCTAGTGTAGAGGGTGAGAGAATGTTTGTTTTTGCAAGGTTATTTCCTGACATTTGGAAACATAGAAAAAAAATTCTGATTTCTTCATTTTGCATCAATTTTATGTATTCTAGTCGATGGTCAGCTTATTTCCTCAATAGGCCGTGGGATTTGCGTTCTGGTTGGGATCCACAAAAACGATTCAGAAAAAGACAAGGAATATTTGTAAGTATTTTCTCAGAGGGATGCTTCTCTCTGTAGTGAAAGCATTCTCTTAACAGATCTGTCTAAGAAAAATAACGTGCTATTCTTTCAGAGCTCGGAAACTATTGAGCATTAGGCTATGGGAGGATGACAAAGGACGGAGATGGTCACGAAGTGTGACTGACATGCAGTATGAGATCCTGTGTGTGTCTCAGTTCACACTCTACTACTACCTGAAAGGAAATAAACCCGACTTCCATGCCGCTATGCCTGGGGCCCAGTCTCAGGAGTTTTATAACTCTTTCTTAGACACTCTTAAAAAATTGTATGACCCCAGTAAAATTAAAGGTAACCCATGGTTTGTGACACTTAAATAAATCTTTGACACCGCACTTTACTTACCTCCTATTTTGGTTTAACAGATGGACAGTTTGGAGCGATGATGCAGGTGCACATACAGAACGATGGACCTGTTACCTTGGACATCGAATCTCCAACACTCAGACAACTGTTAGATGAACAAGCCCAGAAGGATAAACCGACTAAAACTGAGACCCAATCTCAAGATTCGTGAACGTTGTGTAACTTAATAAATTATAAAGTTGTATGCGCTTTTCCTTCTTTTTGTTATGTTTCAAACGTCCCAAGGCAGAATGAGGCCGCGTCCCGCTCTTTTTCGAACCGAACAGGTTTTCCGGTTCCGAGGGTCCATTCCTGCACGCACACACTCACAATAAAGAAGGGTCGCTTGGTACAGTAATGCAGCACGACACTCCACACATAGGCTTGCCATTTTCGTCGCCTCCGCCGGCCACCGTATCGTAATACAGTCTGTACTTGTTGCCCTTGTAGTCGAACACTAACGGTTTGGAGCGCTTGATTTTCTGGAGCTCGGCGAACAGCAGTGGCGACAGTGGGTATCCCATGACGAGGACGTTGAGGTGCGTGAGCCGTCGGTCCCTGAAGGCGCCGGGAAGCACACGGCACTGTTGGCCTTCCAGAACATGGCGCAGCCCGTACTTGCCGGCCTGCAAGCGACGACGACAACATTATTATTAGCTGGTGAAGACGCGTGATAAAAAAATGTAGGCGCGGCGTCCTAATCTAGCGACTTACCTCGAGCGTTGATTCCCTGAGACGGGCCGCCGCAGCTTCGCGCAAAGCCATCTCAGGAATGCGGCCCCCGTTCATGCCATGCCCCTCCAGACGGCTCATATTGCACTACACTAGGTGCTGCTGCTGCTGCTAGGTTGCGGCCGTGAGCTCGCCCTTCGTTACGGGCTGGGCTAGGCTGGCTGGAGGGCCCTGTGGAGGGCGGTTCGCCGCTCAGATTTTCGCGCTTTTAAACGATTTCAGCTATTCTATTGGTTGTTGCAGTCACGTGCTGCGTACCGGAACCAACCCACCCCCAGACATTCTTTGGGGAAAAGGTTGTCGGCACTGAAGGACGAAGGGACTGCTGCAGAACCTGATGTGTATCAGTTCACACTCTACTACTACCTGAAGAAGACGACTTCCATGCCGCTATGCTGGGGCCCAGTCTCAGGAGTTTTAACTCTTTCTTACACTCTTAGAGATTGTGGACCCCCAAATTAAAGTAAACCATGGTTTGTGACATTTAAATAAATCTTTGACACCGCACTTTACTAACCTCCTATTTTGGTTTAACAGATGAGTTTGGAGCGATGATGCAGGTGCACATACAGCGAGAACTGTTACCTTGGACAGGAATCCACACTCAGACAACTGTTAGATGAACAAGCCCAGAAGGATAAACTCTCATTCGAGACCCAATCTCAAGATTCGTGAACGTTGTGTAACTTAATAAATTATAAAGTTGTATGCGCTTTTCCTTCTTTTTGTTATGTTTCAAACGTCCCAAGGCAGAATGAGGCCGCGTCCCGCTCTTTTTCGAACCGAACAGGTTTTCCGGTCCCGAGGGTCCGTTCCTGCACGCACATACTCACAAATTTTCTTATTTTTAAAATGTAACGCAGACTTATTGACCTGCAATTTTCATCTTCTTGTAGAAAGTTATAATGATTTAATAATAGATGCTACCTAGCTCAGTAGGGCTACTAGTGGTGGAGCCTGTTTTTTTTAAAGGATTGGTCAATAAACGTGGGGGAAAGGGGGGGGAAGTGGGGGGAACACCCCCGCCATGGTGTTGTGCAAAAAAGGGCGCGCAGTTCCCGCCAGAACCGTTGGAGCTTTGCACGAGAAACCGCAAACCTGCAACGTCTCCAGTTTTGGCCGCGCGTATTTCATTGTCTCTGGTTGACTTGATCGGATATTCTGTCATCATGGTCGCTGACAGGAACTCGGACAGGATGTATGTCCTGAAGAGAGGTATGGTTACTTGCGTTTCACCCCAAAATTGCAATCTTACCGCCTCTGTTTGATTTCTTGGAGAAGGGTGGACTTCTATAACCACACTGCTCGTCACATGATTGTGCAAAATCTCTATTTGCTTCGTTCCCCTTGTTGGCTGCGGGTTCTGATATCTTTCGTAGTTTCCCCTAATCTGTAAATAGACATAGGTTCAGAGAACCTTTGTTCATGCCGGGTCCGTCTCCCTACTCACCATATCGAGTTCCGATCCCGCCAAATCATTGTCAGCTGTATATTTGCAAAATATTATGTCGAATTTGTTTGGAGATCGGTCTACATATACTTTCAAAGTTCAACTCGTCCCAAGATTTGTTGATGTAATCATCACTTAAATTTCTGGAGGTTACTGGGCTCCACAAAGGACGTGCCTGGTTGTGTCTTTTGTTCTCGCACATCAGGTCTCATTGAATTATTATTTTATTTCACAGGTGGTAGGAAGGAAGAGATTCATTTTGACAAGATCACTTCAAGAATTCAGAAACTCTGTTATGGCCTCGACATGGAGTATATTCATCCGGTAAATTACCTCTCCAAACAATTGTTGGTTCCTTTCCAAATTGTGGCTCAATTTTTATTTCTATTCTTCTGCAATTAGGCTTCAATCACCCTCAAAGTCATCAATGGATTGTATCCGGGTGTTACTACTGTGGAACTTGACAACCTCGCAGCTGAGACTGCGGCCACCATGACCACCAGGCATGCAGACTACGCAGTTTTAGCTGCTCGTATTGCCGTGTCCAACTTGCACAAGGAAACCAAGAAGAGTTTCAGCGGTATGTCGCTGCTGGAGATAGTTTGCTTTGAAATTATTAAGTTAATTTTGAACTTACCATAGTTAATTTATTCTGTATGTCTGTATAGAGGTAATGACTGACTTGTACAATATTACAAATCAGTATTCAATGAAGAAGTCCCCAATGATTTCTGATTTCCATTATGATATCATCATGAAAAATGCGGAAAGGTTAAACTCTGCCATTATTTATGATAGAGATTTTTCCTACAACTATTTTGGCTTTAAGGTAGGTATACTTTTTTACAATTGGCCTGTGTCTTAAATAGTTTGATATGTGATATTACCCATAAGCTTCTGCCCAAACATTTTTAGACACTGGAACGATCATACCTTCTTCGAGTTGATGGTAAAGTGGCCGAGCGTCCCCAGCACATGCTCATGAGAGTGGCTGTTGGTATTCATGGTGAAGACATAGATGCTGCCATTGAAACTTACAACCTCCTGTCTGAGAGGTACTTCACTCACGCTTCACCCACATTGTTCAGTGCTGCCACTCCGCGGCCTCAACTTTCAAGGTGTGTATTCGCAATTACATTGCTATTAGCTACTAGACTGAACCATTGTTATAACATGCCTCTTCTGTCTCAGTTGCTTTCTCCTCGCCATGAAAGAAGACAGCATAGAAGGTATCTACGACACCTTGAAGGATTGTGCTCTGATATCCAAGTCTGCGGGAGGGATTGGTGTCAATATTCATTGCATCCGTGCCAAGGGCAGTTACATTGCTGGCACTAATGGTACATCCAACGGTATTATTCCCATGCTACGTGTGTTTAACAACACTGCTAAGTATGTGGACCAAGGAGGAAATAAAGTAAGTATTTGACAATGTTGCTTGTTTCATGATAAGACATACATCCTTACTATTGAATATTGTGTCTGTTTTTGTAGCGCCCTGGTGCTTTTGCCATTTACCTCGAGCCATGGCATGCTGATGTCTTTGACTTTTTGGACTTGAAAAAGAACACTGGTAAAGAGGAAATGCGTGCCAGGGATTTGTTCTACGCTCTTTGGATACCTGATCTATTCATGCGTCGAGTGGAGAGTGATGGAGTGTGGTCCCTGATGTGCCCACACCAGTGTCCTGGCCTATCAGACTGTTGGGGAGAAGAATTTGACAAACTCTATACACAGTAAGACAATATTTTTCCTCTTTCAAAAGAATGTTTTTAATCTTATGCATTCATTATTTATGTATGATGGTTTGCTGCAAATCCTAATTATTGTCTTTTTTTCAGGTATGAATCTGAGGGTCGCTTCATGAAGCAGGTCAAGGCTCAGCAGCTCTGGATGGCGATCATTGAATCTCAAGTGGAGACTGGCACCCCATTCATGCTGTACAAGGATGCTTGCAACAGGAAGTCAAACCAACAGAATATTGGCACAATCAAAAGCAGTAATCTCTGCACAGAGATTATCGAGTACTCTGCTCCTGATGAAATTGCTGTTTGCAATCTTGCCTCAGTTGCAGTCAACATGTTTGTGAAGGCTGACAAAACCTATGACTTTGAAAAGCTAAGGGAGGTGACGAAAATTGTTACAAAGAACCTGAACAAGATTATTGATGTCAATTACTACCCTGTTCCTGAGGTAAATGCTCTTTTCCTCCATTTACTGTAATTGGACTACCACATTTATTGTAATTTTAAACGAATGATGTACTCTGTTTAGGCCCGCAGGTCCAACATGAGACATCGTCCGATTGGTATTGGCATCCAGGGGTTGGCTGATGCTTTTATTTTGATGCGCTTGCCATTCGAAAGTGAAGGTGCTCAAGACCTGAACAAGAAAATCTTTGAAACTCTTTACTTTGCCTCTCTTGAAGCAAGCTGTGAACTAGCTGAGCAGTTGGGACCATATGAGACCTACCCTGGTTGCCCAGTTAGCAAGGGGGTGAGTATTTCAGTAATTTATCATTTTGAAACTCCCCTCTTTTCTATTTAGCATTCATGATGTGCTTACGATTTTCTTTCATTAGATCCTTCAATTTGACATGTGGAAAGTGACACCATCAGATCTGTGGAATTGGGATGAGCTACGCAGCAAGATTGCTAAACATGGCGTCAGGAACTCGCTTCTTCTAGCTCCCATGCCTACTGCATCCACAGCCCAGATTCTCGGCAACAATGAGTCAATTGAGCCCTACACTTCGAACATTTACACCAGGAGAGTCTTGTCAGGAGAATTTCAGGTCTGAGATCTTTTGTTTTTATGCTTGTCTGTATGTCTGTGGTCTTTCCTGTATTTTTGCTGATCTTTCATTGTTCCCTTTCTTCAGGTGGTTAACCATCACTTGTTAAGAGACCTAACAGACTGTGATTTATGGGATGATGACATGAAAAATGAAATTATTTCCAATGGAGGGTCAATCCAGGTTTGTAGCAGTTGCAGTAATTGAAACTAAAACATTGTCTAGTACAACAATTGACATTTATCTATTTCTGTTTTTAGGGCATTGAAAGAATTCCCAAGGAAATCCGTGACCTTTACAAGACAGTTTGGGAAATATCACAGAAAACTGTGATTAAAATGGCAGCGGACAGAGGAGCATACATTGACCAGTCTCAGTCACTCAACATTCACATTGCTGAGCCTAACTATGGCAAGCTGACCTCTATGCACTTCCATGCATGGAAGCTGGTATGTTTGCTATTTTATATATATATATTTGTCAGTTATTAACTGTGAAAGGCAATTGATTGCATTTGTATGTTTTCTTGAAATTTCAGGGTTTGAAAACAGGAATGTACTACCTGAGAACTAAACCTGCAGCTCAAGCCATTCAGTTTACTGTGGATAAACAAAAGCTTGCCAAGGCTACTGGTGTTAATGGATCAGTCACCAATGGCACCTCCAGAGACAACAGTGCTAATATTGCTGCCATGGTTTGTTCCCTTCAGAATAAGGACGAATGTCTCGCCTGTGGATCATAGTCTGAAGGCTGCAAGCCAACCCTCATAATCTGGAACCGACCAATAGTGTATTTGTTAGTTGTATTTATGTACAGTGTTCTTTTAGAATGTTTCTTGTGATGAGTATTTCTGTATTCTTTTTACACTTTATAACTTTATAAACATATGAGTTGTATTTTTATCACTATTAACTTTTATCTTGTAATGCTTTGTTTTAAGTTTGCTGTGAATGGATGATTCCTGTATTCAAAGCTTTATTTTATTTGTTAGTCACCCAAGTGTCTTATGTCATGTCATGTCTCATGTCCCTCAGTGAAGGTAGCATGGTTCAAGGAGGGACTTGACACAAGAAACAATTCTGGATCTCAAAGTCGGTCCTCCTCCACATATGTTTTACGCTCTCCTGTGAACATTTATTTTTATTTGCCATATAATAAATGTTACTAATCAATTTCTGTCGGCTTTTTGATTCCACCACCCGTGTCTCTTCTCCTTCTGGACAAACACACGCAAGGTAGGCCGCCCATTTCACACGCAGCTGCAAAAGCAGTGCTGTGGAGGAGAACTCTGCGCACCATTTAGAGGGAGAGGGACAGACTTACAAACGAAATTAACAGAAACATTTCATCCTTAATAGATTTTATTTTCGTCTGAAATTTTTTTTATGGAAAGGGAAATGGGATAACAGGGTTGGGTGGGAATGGGGAAGGGAGGGATATTTGGCACTACAGCATATGGCTATTATTGATTGTCTCCATTATTTACAAGTTTCAGACTACATAAAACTGTCTATGTTCACACATATCACTTTCCTTTCATTCACTAGCATTCATTTTATGTACACCTAAATTATTTTGTACAGTTATAATACATCAGTACTTCAAGCTTGGCTTCTGCTGCTGTGGCTATGCAGGTGAATGTATGAGCAATGCTTGCAATCAACATAAAGCTGTATTGACCTTTTAGCCGCTACGTCCCCAAAAAAGACACTGTCCATTAAAAAAAATTTCATAGAGTTGGACTACTTTGTACATGCTCCTTCACAACCTGACTTGCAGCAGTGCTCCAATAGCTATGGCCTCAATTTGTTAAAAAGAACCACAATCGGTCCCGACTAGAGATGAGCTTGCATTGCAGAAGCTTTACCGTCTTATCAATGCACTTAATCTCAAAACATAGATGCCACTAAACTCTGTTCTTTAAAATTAATAAAAAAATCAATGACAGAAAACAAAAGATTTAAAAAGTAACAATTGATTTTTTGATAAACAAATTCAGTTGAGAACATAATTTAGTGGCCTTGAATAAATTACAATACTGGTATATGACACATTCGAGGCAGAGACAATGGCAGTACATAATCTTAGTTTCACAGGCATCTCTTCTTCATGTTGAGTATTTTCTCTGCCTACAATAAAATAATTAAAAACGTCTTCAACAATTCTCATAAGTTATTTTCCTAGTCTCACCAAACACACTAAAACAAGAATAAATTACTAAGTCAAGGAACAGACAACACGACACGTGTCACACGTACTCTTCCGAGGGTTTGGTGGGTGAAGCCGGGAGCCTGAGGGAGGCCGGCACCGGGACCACCCTGCCGTTGACGGAGTCTGGCAGCTCGGCAATGTCTTTGAACACCCCGACCAAGCTCTGGAAGTTGGGCCCCCAGTTGAGGAGGTAGTCCCAGCCCAAGCCCTGGCCGAGGCCCATGGCCGTGACCGAGGGTGGCAGGGGCCCGCCCTGCCCGAGGCCTTGCCCGGGGACGGCGCCCAGCCCGTGGACGCCCATGTGCGTGGACAGGTCGTCGTCCGAGGCCACCAGCGTGCTGAGCGAGCCCCGGAACGACGAGTCGAAGCCGTCGTAGGACGGCAAGGACGGCACCGAGGGCGGGATGGACGTGAGCGAGGGCTTGCCGGCGAGCGGGCTGCTGCCGCGCCCCGTGTCCGTGGCCTCGTCCTCGTCGTCGTCCTCCTCGCACGCGCGCCGCCCGTCGCCGCCTACGCTGTTGTTGTCGTACTCGATCTCGGAGCACGTGAAGGAGTCGTTGCCGCTCTCGTCGGTGGTGGTCGAGTGCGTCGAGTGGTTGTCGTCCATGTCCATGTCGTCCTGGTGGTGCAGGTGCGTCCGGTGGGCGCGCCGGTGTGGCGTGGAGCTGACAGCGTCCAGGGTGGAGACGAGGCTCGAGTTGCGCGGCGGGTTGTGGCCGAACCGCTGGATCTCGTCGGCCGTGAGCCCCGCGGCCAGCCCCGCCGCCAGCCGCTGCGTGTGCACCGGGCTGGACAGGTCGTGCTGCCTGGCGTGCTGCAGGGAGTGCTGCAGCGAGTGCTGCAGCGGCGCGGCGTGCGGCTTGCACAGCTTCCGGGACCCGGAGCTGCTGTGGCCGCTGAGCTGCGACATGACGGGCGAGTTGAGCGACCGCTCCGAGTTGGAGTGCAGCGACACGTCCTTGACGCCCACCGTCCCCGACGACGACGTCGTGGCCAGCAGCGCGGACTGCAGCGGCTTCCCGCTGATGTCCTGCAGCGTCAGGATCCTGGGCTGCGAGGACACCTCCGAGCTCGGCGACAGCCTGGCCAGCGGCGTGCTCTGGTGCTGCACCCGCGTGCCGCCGCCAGCCATGCTGTTGGCGACGGACGGCGGGGAGTCCACCCTGGCCGTGGGCGGCGGCAGCACCATGGAGCGCGGCGAGTCGCGGCTCGGGTGCTGCAGGAACGGCGTGTGGCGGTGCGCCGAGCCCTGCTGCAGGCCTGTGGAGCAGGGAGACGCGTTAGACAGTCAAGGGCTGGATGGTGGATGTCGAAGCAGCCAACTATCGTCAATCTGCCCCCACTGAAAACGAGAGGCCGCCGCAGGCACACTCACCTTGCTGGACGTGCTTGTGGTGGTAGGACGACGGCGGCGCACTGGGGGCCGGCGCGGGGCTGGCCTTGTACTTGCGCACGTTGCCCAGGTTGCCCTCCCGGTAGCCCTTGTAGTGGTACACGATGTCGATGTCGGACGGCGCGATGGAGCTGGCGTTCTCCAGGTCGTAGTGCTCCGGCATGTCCATGCTGGGGTCCATGCTGGTGGCGTCGTGCGGGTGGTGCGGTGGCGGCGGCATGGGCATTGGCGGCGACTTGCCCACCCCCACCACCTCCCTCTCGATGATGTCCGGTCGCTGCGGCCGCTGCTGCTCGAGGTCGCGCTCCTTGTACTTCTTGGCGATGAGTTCGGGATGGTGTGCACGCAGCAGGTCTCCGCCGACGCCCTCCACGCCGTGCAGCCGGCCCAGGTCGCCGCCGACGCCGCCGGGGAGGAGGCTGCACAGAAAGACACGGTCAGGAGGGGCTTTGCTTCGAAGGGAAGACACCATAGATTTGATGCCTTTGTTTTGCCAGTGAATTTGCCGCAGGGCTGCCCCGCGGGCTGCCCTGGTACTCACCCTCCGGAGGTGACGAGCGTGGTGCCGGGGGAGCCGCCGGGGCCGGCACCCTTCTCCTTGCCATGCCTGCGCAGGCGGAACACGACGAAGGAGACGAGGATCACCACCAGCAGGATGACGAAGAAGACGATGACGAGGGTGATGCCGATGGACAGCGGGTCGGGTGCGGCGGCCGCGCCCACGCCCACAGGTCCGGCGCAGCCCTGCCACACCTTGCCGTGGGCCAGCGCCTCCAGGATGGAGCCGGACCCGTTGAGCGGCTGCACCTCGGCGTTGACGGTCAGGTTGGCGACGCAGCCCTCGAACCCTGCTCGGAAAACGGGAGGCGTTAGCTTGGCGCCGTGCTCGCTCTAGCCCACAGTGGGCTAGAGGACCGGTGGAGGCGATCGAAATTCCGGACTTGTTTTGAGCTCCAGAGTCGCTAATTGGGATTCGAACCGAGCGTGCGACCCCACCTACGGATTCCTCGGCCGTTGAGCAATCCATTGGTGGGGTCACATGTTCGGTTCGAGTCCTGTTTAGCCACTCTGGTGCCTTCTGGCAGAGCCCGGCACTGGAGCTCGCCATGGGACCCGTGCAGGGCTGCTCGGTGGGGGAGTCGTTGTGCGACAGAGAGGCTGGGAGGCGGCCTGGCGGCTCGCGACTCACCTTGCGGGACGTCGGCCGTGTGGAAGGTGTCGCGGACAGCGCCGCCCACGGACAGGGCCGTGAGGTAGGGGTCCAGGAAGTCGTGCACGCCGTTCGGGTCCAGTTCGTCGCCGGCCCGCCTGCCGTCCAGCAGCAGACGCAGCGCGCGGCCCCGCGACTCGAGCGTCAGGTTGTGCCAGCGGCCGTCCCACAGGGGCTCCCAGTCCGACACCGTCATGTTGACGGGCGAGCCCGCGGCGCCGGCGCGCGACATGTACACGAGCACGCCGCCTCGGAGCTGCAACACCAACGGTGACGTTAAGACACAGTACGAAAAGATAAAAAGATCGGCAAAACTTGCGACATGGAAGCAAGTGGTAGGTTTCGAGAGAGACCCCACTGACCTGGATGGCGGTGAAGTCCTTGTTGGAGGCGGCGTACAGGATGAGGCCGTCCTTGCGCACTGTGCGGAACGAGAGGCTGAGGGTCTTGGCCTCCGCCCTGGCCGTGGTGGACGCGGACCTGGCGTGCCACCGGGTGGAGCCGCGGTACACGCCGTCCAGGAGCTGCATGCGGCGGTGCATGTCGGAGACGCGGAAGGCCAGGAAGGCGCCGTCGGTGAGGGTGGCCGGGAGCAGACTGTCGCCGCAGTCCGGCGCCAGCACCGCGCCGCCCGCCCCCGTGCTGCACTCGCAGGCCGACGACGTCCAGCGGTCCACGCAGGCACCCTCGGCGCCGCAGCGGGCAGCGGGGGAGGAGGTGGCCATCAGCGTGTTGTCCAGGAGCTCCTCGCTGTTAAAAACGAACAAGCAAATGAAGCAAATGGATTGCTCGTTCGGAGAGCAATCTATTGCTGGGGTCACACGTTCGGTTCGAGTCCCGTTTAGCGACTCGGCACACTGTGTGTTGACGAGAGACTCACCTGTCCTGCATCCGGGTCAACGCCGTCCTGGCCGAGGCGGTGTTGCCGCTGGCGCACACGGAGCCGGGCCGGCCGCAGGTGGCCTCCACGCCCCTGGAGTGCAGCGGGCTGCTCATGTTGAGCTGGCGCCCGTTGACGGCCACGCTGTGCACGCAGCCCACGAAGTCGTCGTTGGAGACCTGGCCGGGCCGCTCCAGGACGGGGTCCGCCGCCTGCAGGCCTCCTAGCAGCATGGGGTGGCCGTTGAAGTTGAGAGTTCTGGAAAAGATACCGTGGTCAGTGGACGCGCCCTCAACGCGATAAAGGGCATCCGCCGCTTTTGAAGTACAGACGACGGGAACGAGGAGTGAGGGCTTACCCAGTGTTGCCGAGGTCGGCGGCGTAGCAAGAGTCGTCGTCGGGCCGGCACTCGCTGCAGGTCTCCCCGTTGTCGGTGCAGGGCGCCACGCTGAGGGACACGACGCGGCCGTTGCGCGTGGCGGTCACCTTGTGCCAGGCGCCGTCCGCCAGCGAGGCCGAGGGCTCAGCCACGGACAGGGAGGAGATGGCCGTGCGCGCGCCGCCGAAGGAGAAGACGGCGCGCCCGGACACCAGCTCCAGCGCCACGAAGTCGGACCGGCCGCCCGTCTGCGCGCCGAAGTTGTACACGAGCAGGGCGTCGGGCTTGGTCGTGGCGAACACCACCGAGATGTCGTTGGTGGAGGCGTCCAGCGAAGGGAAGGCCGCGTAGGACAGCTCCCGGAATCCGAAGGCCGAGCGTTCGCAGTGGCGGCCGTAGCGGCCGTCGGGGCAGGTGCAGCGGTAGCCGGGCTTGAGCGCCACGCACGCGCCGCCGTGCAGGCAGGGGTTGGGGCGGCAGGAGTCGGCCACCGCCTCGCACTCGTTGCCGCGGAAGCCGGGCCGGCACAGGCAGAAGAAGGAGCCGCCGTCGGGGCTGGGCCGGCACGACCCGCCGTTGCGGCACGGGTTGTCGCCGCACGCGTCGCCGCGCTCGCGCTCGCAGTGCCGGCCCTCAGCGTGCGCGGGGCACACGCAGGTGTAGTCGGCGGCGCCCTGCCGGCGGCAAGCGCCCCCAGCGCGGCACGGGTTCGGCGCGCACGGGTCCTGGCGGCGGTCGCAGCGCGCGCCGGTGAAGCCGTCGGCGCAGCGGCACTGCACGTCGCGCTGCAGCGCGGGCGCGGACAGCACCAAGGAGGCCGAGTCCGTGACGCGCAGCGGCAGCGCGGGCGAGGCGATGCGGAGTGAGTCGGCGCACACGGAGCCGGCGTGGCACGCGGCGCGCTGGCACGGCGAGTAGCCCAGGGTGAGCGCCCTGCCACGCAGCAGCTTGGTCAGCGCGTCCTGGCGCCGCTGCAGCGCCTGCTGCACCGCGGCCTTGCTGTGGTAGCCGCGAGCACCGCGCGCCGCCACCGCCACCTCCACGCCCTGGTCGCGCTCCTGCACCGAGTACGCCAGCACGGCTAGGTGGTCGTCCTGGGGCAGCGCGGCGCGCACCGCGTCCACGAAGGCCTTGTAGTGGCCCGCCAGGAAGGCGGGCGCCGTGATGTTGTCCACGCGCACCGTCACCGTGCCGTCGATGGTGTCGTTGTCCAGGGCCTGGATCTCCACGGTCACGGCGTTGGTCACGTCCGCGTGCACGCCGTCGTTGCCCACCACGCTGAGCGAGTAGGCCCCCGGGCGAGCGCTGCGTGCCGCGTGCAGTTGGCACGCGCGTGCGATGGACAGCGGCACGTTCCGCGTGGGCCCGGACACCAGCTTGCAGCGGTAGTCGCCCGTCGCGTCCGGGTCGTCGGGACGCACGTCGGCCACCACGCCGAGCGGGGTGTCGTCCGCGTCGGAGGACGGCGGCGTGGCGGGCGGGGCGAAGACGAGCAGGTGCATGGCGCGCGGCGTGGACGGCGAGTCGTTCTGGTCCAGCACCGTGACGGTGACGGGGTGCTGCGCGCGCTGCGGCGGGTTGCCGCTGTCCTCTACCTCCACCACCAGGTCCAGGCGGTCCGTCACCTCGCGGTCGATGGTCTCCGCCGTCCGCAGCAGCCCGGTGGCGCTGTCCAGCGTCACCAGCCCGCGGTGGCGGCCGCCCACCAGGCGGTACTTGAAGGGGGCGCCGTTGGGCGGCAGGTCCGCGTCGGTGGCACTCAGCATCATGATGCTGGTCCCTGGGGGCTCGTTCTCCGCCACCAGGCCCACGGCGTCCGTCTCGAAGCGGGGCGCGTTGTCGTTGACGTCCTCCACGAGCACGCGCACCACCGTGGTGCCCGTCTCCGGCGGGGAGCCAGAGTCGATGGCGCCCACCGTGATGGTGTACGCGGACATGGCCTCGCGGTCCAGCGGCAGCGTGGTCTCCACTTCGCCGGTCTGCGGGTCCACCTGGAATCAGAGAGCAGCGTGGTTAGCCACTGGATTCGAGAGGCGTTCAAGAGGAAACTACAACTCGCGACTCACCTTGAAGGAGTGGGCTCCGCTGCCCCCGAGGATGGAGTAGGAGAACTGGTTGTTGACGGCGCGCACGTCGCGGTCCACGGCCCGCACGGTGGCGATGTGCGTGCCCGGCGCGGCGGCCTCGGACACCTGGGCCTCGTACACGGGCTGCAGGAACTCGGGCGGGTCGTTGCCGTCCTGGATGGAGATGATGACCTGGGCCTCGTCCGTGTCGTTGCCGCGGATGGAGCCCTCGTTCTTGGCCATGACGGTCAGCACCACGCGGTTCTGCGTCTCGCGGTCCAGCCCGCGGAACACCGTCACCACGCCCGTCTCCGGCGCCACGCTGAAGCCGCGGTCGTTGCTCGAGCCCACCAGCAGGTAGTACACCTTGCTGCCGAGGCCCTGGTCCTGGTCCGTGGCCTGGATCATCCCCACGCTGGTGCCGACCTGCGCGGCCTCGGACACGTCCAGGTGGAAGACGGGCTGCACGAAGCGCGGGTAGAACTCGTTGACGCCGGTGATGTGCACGAGCAGGCGCGCCGAGCCGTACTGCGCCGAGTCCGGGTTGGAGGCGAGCAGGTCCAGCGTGTACTGCGTGCGCTCCTCGTAGTCGAAACTCACGCGCGCTGTCACCACGCCTGTGCGCGGGTCCACGTCGAACGCGTCTTTGCCCGAGCCGCCCACGATGGAGTAGTGGATGACGGCGTTCTTGGGGGAGTCCTTGTCCGTGGCGTGGGCGGTGAACACGACCGTGCCGGGCGGCGAGTTCTCCTGGATGCTGGCCTCGTACGCGCTCTGGTTGAAGGTGGGCGGGTTGTCGTTGATGTCGGTCAGCATGACGGTGAGCGAGGCCGTGGCGGAGCGCCCGTCCAGGCCCAAGTCCGTGGCCGTGATGTTGAGGTGGTGCTCCGGCACCGTGTCGTAGTCGAGGGCCTTGAGGATGGTGACGACGCCCGTGCGAGGGTTCACGGCGAAGAGTCCTTGCGCGTTGCCGCCTGAGATGGAATAGCGCACGTCCCCGTTGGGGCCGGGGTCCGCGTCGTCAGCCTGCACCGTCAGGATGGTCGCCCCGACGGGCTCGTTCTCGGGCACGAACACCTGCGAGCTGGGGGCCTTGAAGACGGGGCTGTGCTTGTTCTCGCCCGTCACGACCAGCACGATGACGGCGTCGTCGCTCTGCGGCGGCACGCCCTTGTCCACGGCGCGCACCGCCACGGAGTACGTCTTCCTGCCCAGCCCCTGCAGCGGCCGCGACAGCGACACCTTGCCGGTGGTCTTGTCCAGCGAGATGAGCTCACTGCCGTTGCCGCCCATCTTGATGTACTCGATCTCCGCGTTGACGCCGAAGTCGGCCACGTCCTTGGCGACCAGCTTGGCCAGGCTGCGGCCCACTGGGGTGCTCTCCGGCACGGCTGTGAAGTAGGTCCGCTGCGCGAAGGCGGGCGCGTTGTTGTTGGCGTCCACGATGTTGACCGTCACCAGGCACTCGGAGGACATGGGTGGCTTCCCGTTGTCCGTCGCCAGGACCGTGAGCGGGTACTGGTTCTCCGGGGACCAGCCGAGCGCGGCGTGCTTGTAGCGCAGGCGGCGCTTGGACAGCACCTCGCCGCTGGCCGGGTCCACGCTGAACAGGTCGGACGGGTGCTTGAGCGAGTACGAGATGACCGAGTTGGGGCCCTGCTTGTCACGGTCCGCGGCCGACACCTGGCCGACCAGGGCGACGGCCTGCGGCTGCAGCTCGGGGAAGTTGAAGGAGTAGTACGAGTGCTCGAACTCGGGGGCGTTATCGTTGACGTCCTGGATGGTGACGGTGAGCGGCGTCTCCTGCCGCCAGGCGCCGTCCTCCGCGGTCACCTTCAGCACGTACTCGTCGTGCTGCTCGCGGTCCAGCGGGCCCGCCACCGTCACGTTGCCGCTGATGGGGTCGATGGCGAACTTGTCGCCGGGGTTCTCGGTGAAGGAGTAGGTGGCGTTGGCGTTGACGCCCTCGTCCAGGTCGCTGCTGGTGACGCGGATCACAAACGTGCCCATCTCCGAGTTCTCCGTGACGTTGACGCTGAAGAGGCGGGAGAAGCGGGGCGGGTTGTCGTTCTTGTCGAGCACCGTGACCAGCACGGCGGCGCTGCCCGTGAGCTGCGGCCGGCCCTCGTCAACCGCCTCCACCTGCAGCTGGTAGGTGGCCGTCGACTCCCGGTCCAGCTTGGTCTTGGTGTAGATCTCTCCGGTGCGTGGGTCCACGGTGAACGCGCCGTCGCCGTCCTGGCCGTGCGCGAGTCGGTATGACAGCTGGCCGTTGACGCCCGAGTCGCGGTCGGTGGCCTTGACGCGGACGACCCTCACGGGGGCGAACTCCTCCTCCATGACGGTGGCGTTGTACAGCGCCCGCTGCATCACGGGCGGGTTGTCGTTGGCGTCGGTCACGTTGACGAGCAGCTGCACCAGCGAGCGCAGCGGCGGGTCGTCCGAGTCGCGCGCCTCCACCCACACCTCGCAGTACGGCGCCGTCTCGAAGTCCAGGCCGTGCGACACCAGCACGTCGCCCGTGTTGGCGTCCACGCGCAGCGCGTCGCCCACGTTGCCGCCCGCGATGGCGTACTTGACGACGGCGGCGGCGCCGCGCTTCGGGGACACGGCGGACACGCGCGTCACCACCCTGGCGTCCTTGGCGTCCTTGGCCGAGGCGTAGTCGTCCTCCTGCAGCGTGAACCTCGCGACGCGCGGGCCGCGGATGGCCGGGAACTGCGCGGCCGGGGCCACGCGCACCAGCAGGTCCGCGGACGCGGAGCGCGGCGGCATGCCCGCGTCGCGGGCGAAGACGGTGAGGTGGTAGGCGCGGTGCGGGTCTGTGGAGAGCGTCACCGCGGCCGTCACCACCCCCGTGGCCGCGTCGCACCGGAACTGGTTCGAGTCGTCGCCAGACAGGGAGTACCGCACTCGGCCGTTGTCGCCCTCGTCCGCGTCCGCCGCCTTGGCGCCGAACACGAACTCGCCTGCAACACACACAAGCCATTCAAACAACGTCCTCAGTGAGCCATCGCACAGTGGGCCAGAAGACCAGTAGAGGTGGCCAAAATTCCAGACGCGTTTTGAGCTCTAGAGTCGCTTAATGGGTCACACGTTCGTTTCGAGTCCCATTTAGCGACTCTATAGTTCAAAACGCGACTAGAATTTTGGCCGCCTCCACTGGTCCTCTGGCAAATCCACTGTGCATCCATGTACTCGACGGGAGCGCTGCGCGCCCTACCTTTGCCGGTGCCAGCAGGCACGTGCACGGTGTACTGCGCCTCGGAGAAGACCGGGTCGTTGTCGTTCTCGTCCAGGACGGTGACGGTGAGGTTGACGGCCGAGGCCCTGGGGTCCGTGGCCGAGCTGTCCTTGGCGACGAGGGTGAGGTGGTAGCTGGCGCGCTCCTCCCGGTCCGGCGGCGCGGCCAGCGACACCGCGCCGGTCTCGGGGTCCACGGCGAAGCGGTCGGCGTGCTCGCCCAGGAGGGAGTACCTGCGACACGCCAGGGCGTTCAGAACGGAACCAAAACAAAATCGGTTTGGTGCAATACGCCGAGAAACCCTCCAGTGGAGGAGACGGAAACCCAGTCAAGGCTCCCAGTGAGTGCGGGGCGGCGGCAGGCGCGGCAGGGCCGATCCCTGGCATGTCGCTGGCACGGCGCTGGCTCTCCAAGGCGCTGGCGGCCACTCCAGGAATGAAACCCGATCGTGATAGCCGGCCGACTGCGTCCCCGGGACAGCGTTTGCAAACACTTTTCGCGCCTACCCGCCGCCCTTCCTACTTCGTGATTCCTACTTCGCACGTCGCGCTCCCTCCGCGAACCGGGAATCTACAACGCCGCAAGCGCGTGACCGCGTTCATCTAGGGCCGCGCGGCGAGCTGGCAGAGGGCAGAGCACGTCGGTAGGCGCGGTGGGGTCGCCGTCGTGTACAATCCGCGCTGCCTTGTCGCTAAATGTGACTCAAACCGGACGTGCGACTCCACCAATGGATTCCTCGTCCGAAGAGCAATCTATTGGTGGGGTCACACGTTCGGTTCGAGTCCCATTTAGCGACTTTGGATCTCAAAACGCGTCCGGGATTTTGACCGCCTCCCCCGGTCTTCGGGCAAATCCACTTACCTGATCTTGGCGTTGAGCCCCTCGTCCTTGTCGCTGGCCTTGGCCACCAGGATGACGGTGCCCGCCGGCGCGTTCTCCCTGGCGCTGGCGACGTAGCCCTGGCGGCCCTCCCGCTCGAACTCGGGGCTGTGGTCGTTGACGTCCTGCACCACGACGCGCACCGTCCCGGACCCGGTCAGCGGCGGCGTGCCTGCAACACCATCAAGAGCGTCATTCTCGCCGCTTCGCTGCTTTTCTTCTTTTTATTTTTATTTCGAGGATTTATCACACTCGTCTAATCTAATCTGCATAATGGCGCGCACCACTCTTGGCCAAGGTTAGGCGGGCCTCGTCGAGGGCCTCGTCCTTCCAGTGTGCCTGCTAACCTCCCCAACCTCGTACGGCTCGCACGCCTCGCACGCCGCGCACATTCACGCAACGAGCGCTTCCAAGCGGATTCTACTGCTTGTTCGCAACACGCCCGCCTCTCCGTACGACCGTCTGTCTGTCCGCCCGTCTGTCTGTCCAACTGCCTGTCCGAGGTAGAGCGCCTGGCAGGTAGGCAGTCCCGTGGAGCACCGGTGTTCTGCGGCGCTGCCTACCTCGAGGTTCGCAGGCGTTTCGGGAGCGCCTGGCAGGTAGGCAGTCCCGTGGAGCACCGGTGTTCTGCGGCCCTGCCTACCTCGAGGTTCGCAGGCGTTTCGGGAGCGCAGTCCCGTAGAGCACCGGTGTTCTGCGGCCCTGCCTACCTCGAGGTTCGCAGGCGTTTCGGGAGCGCCTGGCAGGTAGGCAGTCCCGTAGAGCACCGGTGTTCTGCGGCCCTGCCTACCTCGAGGTTCGCAGGCGTTTTCCTCGTCTCTCTGTCTGTCTGTCGTGAAGCGTGCCCCGGCGCCGCACCCTCCATTGGTCACGGCGATCTCAAAGCGACATTCCCCCTCCCCCCCCCTCTCTCTCCCTCTCTCGCTCTCTCGCTATGCGCTATGCCTCGCGGTCCGCCTGTGAGTCCATCACCCACACGACGCGGCGCGGCACTGCCATGGCAGCATGGCACTGCACTGCAGGTCATTGCACTCGTATTCGAGATGGTACCCCCGTAGCCATGCCTCCCCGGCGCGGTCGTCCGCGGTCGTCCAGCCCTGTCGGTCCGCGGTTCAAACACCGCCTCGGCTCTTCCTTTCTCACAGTGTCGTGAGCGCTGTGTACGCACGACCCGGCAGGCCGGCGCAGGCCGCGACATTTTCAGCAGTGCCTGGCCTTCTGCCCTCGGATGGCTTTCTGTAAAACTGTTCCACGAACACTCGCGGCTAGTTTATCTGATCCGAGAGGGAAACAAGGTGCACATTATTTTCATCCACACACACTCACACAGACACAGGTGGGCGCGCGCGCACACACACACACGCACACAGGCGCGCGCGTGGAGAGCGATACACACAGGCTGTTGTGTCACTTGCAGAACAGGTTCCGAGTTCTCTCAAGTATGAGCGGAATATGTAGCGCCGGAGATAACACTTCCGCAACAACTACAACAGTGTTGCTCAAAACACACACACATACACACGAGCGCGCGCACAGACGACAAATGTGTGCGTTACCGCCGCTGAGACAGCCCAGCCCGTCTTTTGTCCACGTCGAGACTTTTTTCCCGTTCGATTCTTTTTTTCCCCGCCGCGCGGGGCAAAGGGATATGCAGGCGGCGTGTTCTATGACACGAGGCGGGGTGGTTCACCCAACCTAGCACGTTCCACGCCCCGCCCCACCCCGCCCCGCCCCGCCCCGCCACAGACCTCCCGCTGTGATAATCGTCCAGAAACCGCAGGCGAAGCTATTGCCATGCGGTGTATGTCCCCCACCTCGTGGCATCGCGGCCACCACGCCCCGCCCCGCCCTACCCCGCCTCACCCCGCCCCGCCACGCCCCCGGCACCACTCGCTTGTAATCCAAGCATCTATCCGTATGCGCAGCCCGATAGAGTCGAAAGGTTAGAGAGCTTTGTCTTTGTAGTGTCCCCGGCAGGAGGTTCTTGGACGTTCTCCGCACCGATTACCACGGCTGTGGAGGCAGTGTTCGGAACCGTTGGTTACGTCATTTCGGCAATGACAGACGCACACACACTGGAAATACTAGCAAAGGTCTCCTTTGTTGCACAACTCCGTGATTAATAATGCATTTCCTTGCTCAGAATACTTTTCATGAAGCCATACACTTTCCTCCTCGAGGCCTGCTATAGTTTGTGTGGTTTGACGAGCGCTCGCATTCTGCGCAGTTCCTCTCGCTCCTTTCTCCAGCACGCCTTCCGCGAGGCGGTGCCGTGGCGGCCGTGGCGGCCGTGGCGGCGGCTCGCTACCGTCCGACCGCTACCCGATTAACACCTCGTTAATTGTCCAGTGCCTATCAGCTTGCCGATGGGTGGCCCCACCTAGAGGCTAGGGGCCCTGGGGGCCCCCACCCAGAGGCCCCGCCCCGCCCCGCCCCGCCTCGCCCCGCCACACCGAGCCAGGCCGAGCCCGGCGGGGAAGGAAGGGGCAAGGGGCTGACCACAAAAATGTCTTCATGTCTTTGCAGCCGCGGCCTGCCCCAAGCCCCCCTTTCTAGTGCTGCCACCTCGCTCACTCTGACTACTGCCTTGAAAACACAAAAACAAACAACAACATCAGAGTGTAGGAAACAGTACTTCAAAAGCCCCCCCAACAACAAGAATGAAAAATTCTGGAAATCCAGCTGACGCTTTTTCCAGCACTTTCAACCAAGTCCCCCCCCCCTCTCTCTCTCTCTCTCTGGTTGTGTTGCTGCTATCGTCCATCGGGCAATGCGTAATGCGATAGGACAGATAGCTCCGGTGTCAGTACGCCTTGATGTAAATGTCTGTATCCGCCGCGGCCTCATTGTCGTTGTTGTTGATGTTGTTGTTGTTGCGGTGGCCGAGTGGTAGTGAAGGTTAGAGGGGAGCGTGTAGAATTGCTTTCTAAGCAGGGGCAGCACCTGGAAGGTGTGACAGACTGACTGCTGCAACAAGGAACGGACGCGCACACACTGCTAAATTTACTCGTGTATGGCGGGAGCCGACTTCAATATCAGTCGGACGACAGTGTGGTGGTCCTCGCGGGGCAAACTTGGAGCAGACAGACAGTCAGACAGACAGACACTTTTCCAGCCACGCGATGTAACCTTCGTCCGATTTGCATGGGATTTGACTCGAGCCGCGCGACGACCCCTGCGCCCCCTGCAGTCGGCCAAACAGCCTCGACCCCTTCATCTGAGAATCCGAGAGGAGTGTGGTTGTCGCGACCCGCGACCCGCCACGCATGCGCTGAGCCGTTTTGTGCCGCTTGCGTCGCGGTCAGGCTGCTCGCCACAGCAACGCTATACAAGTTATTGTTTGTTTAACATTGGCAGTAAGAGGAGTGGACATCAAGGGTGGACTCGGCGCACTTCGTGATCTGAAAGAGCCCTTTCGAAAAAGGTGACAGCGAAAAATCTCGAGGGAGGTGGTATTCGAACCCGCGGCCGCCACGAAGGCACCGCTCTCCGTTGACCCCATGCACCTCATGCACCGCGTGCAGGCCTTGAGCGACGCCCCCGCGCCGTCACTCAGGGTGTCGCCACGAGACGCGAGGCGAGGCGCGGCGAGGCGAGCTTATGGCATTTTCAAGAATCTAAATTGCAGGCTGCACTGCAAATCGTCCCCCCTCCCCCTCCCCCTCCTTTTCGACCGACCGACCGACCGGCGGCGTGTGCAGCAGACAGACCGATTCCGAACATCGGCGCCTCTCGTCGCTCTGTCTCTCTCGCACTCGTGGGGCGTCCCGTAGGGTCCGTAGGTCCCGTAGGTCCCGTAGGGGTGCGAGAGAGACGGAGCTCGGCCGTTGCAAGCGGGGAAGGGCAGGGCCTGCATGGCCTGCATGGCCTGCATGGCCCAGGGCTAGGTTCGTGCCTCGGTTCGTGCGGCCGGCTTGCTCCAGCTTGCTCCAGCTTGCTCCAGTAGGCTGGTTCCGAGGGTCGTACTCCGTCTCGCTCGCACTCGCGCGGCGCCCCGCACTGGTGCGAGAGAGACAGACGGCGACCCTCGGCATGCAGCTCGCTGTACCTCGCTGCCCTCTGGCTCCTGTCCGCATCATCTGATAATTGCCCGCAACCATTACTGCCGATGCATATTTATACAGAAAGAAAAAGGAGGAAGGGGAGCCGAGATCCGCTCGCCAGGGCATCGCCAGGCCGGCCGGCAACAACACTGTAACACGCCGACGCCGTGGGCACGCCGCGCCCGGCCTCGCCCCGCCCCTCGCACTTCTTGAGGTCAACGGGAAAATGCCTGGGATGCCATGGGACGACGCCGGGAAGTGGATCCAGGCGCGGATTTTGAGCTTCAGAGTCGCTAAACAGGACTCGAACCGAACGTGTGACCCCACCAATGGATTCCTCGTTGGGGGAGCAATCCATTGGTGGGGTCACACGTTCGGTTCGAGTCCCACCTAGCGACTCTGGAGATCACAACGCGTCTGGAGTTTTGGCCGCCTCCGCCGGTCTTCTGGCCCACTGTGCGCCGGCCGGCTCAATGACAGCACGCGAGGGCCAATGTGAATCACAACGCGGCACCAAGCCGGACTCGCGCCGGAAGTGGTCCATCAGAGAGCGGGAAAGAAGAAAAAGGGGGGGGGGAAGGAGAGCAACGGAGCACACCCGCTATTATTATGAGTCTGGATAAATAAATCGACACGCCAGTACAGACCACAGCTCTCTCCCTCTCTCTCTCTCTCTCTCTCTCTCTCTCTCTCTCACACTCACACTCACACTCACACACACAAACACACACATACATGCCGCGTGAACTCTGGATGCACTCCTGCGTTGAAGTCTCCCCATGGGCCTCATACAAAACAAGATATTTCCACCACGTTCCGGTTTTTTTTCGCTTCCCGTTTTGAGGATTCTCTCTCAGGGGCCCACGCGCCACGCGACTGTAATTTCACTCCACACAATGCAACTGCACTGAGAGAGAAAGAGAGAAGAGAGAGAGAGAGGCAATGCACTGCCCGAGTCGACCGTGATGCGTGGTCACAAGTTACGATCCGTACGCCGTCCCCATATTGCTGCATCCCATCTCACTCACACACACACACACACACGCAGACACAACGCGACACAAAGCATTTCCCGTCGAATGAATTTCTAACGGGACTTCCTGCAATTTTCCACCACCGCCCGCCATGCCTGGCGTCCATTGGTGGGGGCGGTGCGGTGGTGTGGTGACACCAAGCAGTCGCACTGTCTCTCTCGCACTCGTGGGGTGACCCGCAGGCCGCTGGGGGTGCGACAGGGAGAGAGCGACTGTCGGGAATGGCTCGGCAGATGGTGAGGGATGTGTGATGTTCCGTGTACACTCGCCCTGCTGAAACGGGACACCGCAGCTACCGACCCAGGCTGCCCAGGGCTTTCCAGGCGTGTGTGTGACAAGGCTGCCTGGAGGACGCAGGCTTCCTTCAGGAGGACACTCTACAGTGGGCGGCGCGGCGCGCACAGGGAGGCACGGCTCCAGGGCGCACAGTGGCCCGGCCGAAACTCTAAACGCGTTTTGAGCTCCAGAGTCGCTAAGTGGGACTCGAACCGAACGTGTGACCCCACCAATGGATTGCTCTCCGGACGAGGCCTCCATTGGTGGTTTGGCCACCCCCGCCGGTCGTCTGGCCCACTGTATGCCCGCTGTGGGGCGGGCTAAGGACGAGCCACTTGCAGTGTATCTCAAATGGCCAAGGCCCCGCGCAGTCCAGGCTAACCCCACACCCCCTACAATAAAACTATCGCGTGGCTCTTCGACTGGCCCTAACAGTACTTTCTTTGCCACCGCCTCGAATTTCCAAGGTTCCTTTTTTTTCGGGGAGGGTTGGGTCCGGTCCCCCGTTCCCCGACGTCCTGTAGACACACACACTCTCTCTCTCCTCTCGCCGCGGGGCGTGTGGGTGTGCGAGAGAGACGGGTCGGTCACCCCGCGCGGACTCGGCCTGCTGTCCATTCAAGTGTGAGGCGGTGTGAGGCCGTCCCGGCCGTCCCCGCGCGTCCGCGCCGCTCACCTGTACAGTGTAACGGATGGGAACGGGAATGCTGATTGCAGATTCGCAGCATTCGCAGTCCTGCCCGGCCTGCCTGGTCTAGTCCGCGACGGACGCCACGGACGCCACGCCGAAGGGACGCGGGGCAACGCGGGGCAACGCGGGGCCGAAGGGCTACAGGACGAGAAGAAAGTCACGTTTCTCACTGTCCTGCCTCCGCCCTGCCCGTCGCCCTGCCCTGCGTTCGCGCTGCCCTGTGCGAGGCTAGGCTTTATCTGTCGGCCGCCACGACCCGCGAGAAAGTCCGCGACGCTCAGCGACGCTGGTCTACAAATCCGCCCGCGCAGCAGCGGCATGTTTCATCGAGATATCGATTTGACTCGAAAATCGAGGTTGGAACGACGGCCGTGTTCCGAATCAGCCTCCACCCCACCGCACGGTGGGCCAGAGGGCCGGTGGAGGCGGTCGAAAGCCCGGACGCGTTTTGAGCTCCAGAGTCGCTAAATGGGACTCGAACCTACCGTGTGACCCCACCAATGGATTGCTCGTTCGGACAGCGATCCATTGGTAGGGTCACACGTTCTGTTCTAGCCCCATTCAGCGACTCTGAGCTCAATACGCGTCCGGGATTTGGACCGCCCCCCTCCGGTCTTCTGGCCCACTGTGTGGACTTGCAGTGGAGCGTCCGCACGCTTCGCACGCGGCCGTCGGTGGCTGTCCGGGACTCGGTCCGGGACGACGGCGAGGACAGGCGCTGACAGGCGCAGATTGCTGACACGTCGTCGATGACTCGGCCAACATGTGTACTTAGGCCCGACGGACCGATTCCCAAGAGGCGTCTCGTCGCTCCGTCTCTGTCGCACTCATGGGCCGCGCCGTAGGCCCGCAGGGGTGCGAGAGAGACAGAGCGACCAAGCCGTGTAGGCTGGCGGGGACCGCGGGGACGCACCGCTATGACAGATCTCTCTCGGCTCACCTCGCACTCGCTGCACTCGCCTGCATGCGTAGTGCCCCCTCCCCCTTTCTCTCTCCCTCTCTCTCCCTCCCTCTCTCTCTCCCCTCCTCCTCTCTCCCTCTCTCTCTCTCCCTCTCTCTCCCTCTCTCTCTCTCCAGCTCCAGCCTGGAGCCCGCTCGAGTGCGCTGGAGTCGCGCAGGCTGGAATGCAGCGTCGTGCGATCCGGCCGGCAGGTCGGCCTGCTCGGCCTGCTCGGCCTGCTCGGTCCCGTCAGGTGCTGCTGCAGACTGAGCGTCGCTTTCGTCGCTCTGTCTCTCTCGCACCTGCAGGGGCCGCCCCATGAGTGCGAGGGAGACAGAGCGACGAAGACGACTCCTCGGGCTGCAGCAGCTGCAGATGGTGTGCCAGACAGGTGGGGCTGGCCGTGTCACTAGCCGCGGGACGGGGTGGGGGCGGGGAGGGAAAGAGAGGGAGAGAGAGAGGGGGGGATATACGGCCGCATAAGGACCACACCTCGCGCTCGGCTCTATGACTAGTTGGTGGACGCCCTGCCGTATCTCGCTCTCGCTCTTTTTCAATTGCTGGCCGACGTCGCGACACAATGCGGCGTGTTCATCTCTCTCTCCCTCTCCCTCTCTCGCGGGGCGCCGGGGTGAGAAATCGCGCGGGAGTTTTCCGCGGGCTGCTCCGGGGAGGGGAGGGAGGGGGTGGGACACTAGTGAAAGGCGGCAGGGGGCGTGCATGCATTATTGCGTGCGAAGCGTAATCCACTGAAAGCTGTGGTGGACAGACATACTCCACCTCGACCCGAATCGCGCTCATTCGATTGCGACTGAGCATGGACTTGTAACGCACGGTGGGCCAGAAGACCGGCGGAGGCGGCCAAAACTCTACACAAGTTTTGAGGTTTAGAGTCGCTAAATAGGACTAGAACTCAACGTGTGACCCCACCAATGGATTGCTCTTCGAACGCGAGTCCCATTTAGCGACTCTTGAGCTCAAAACGCGTCAAGAGTTTTGACCGCCCCCACCGGTCTTCTGGCCCACCGTGCACCGATGAAAGCTAAGCACTTCCTTGTTGATTCTGAAGGGTTGGGCACGCCCAGGACGAGTGAACGGCCCAACGGCCAGGCCAAAGGCTGCCAAAGGCCGCCTCGGTGGCGCCGTGGCCGAGGCCGTGGCGCTCCCACTACACTGGCGGGGGTTCGACGCGGAGCCGCGGAGCACGGGGGCGTCGGCGTGGCGTCGGCGCGCCGGGGGTGGGGCGTCGCGGCGGCGGGGGGCATCCCGCACGGGCGCCCCGCCCCGCCCCGCCCCGCGCGGTGTAGATATTTATCGGGCTAGCGGACTCCATAATGCATACGACGTGTCGCCGTCATAAGGTCTTTGCCCAGAAACCGGCTCTCATAGCGCGAGCTGAGCTGCGCGGGCTGCGCGAGGTGGCGGGGCGGGGCGGGGCGGTGCTAGCGCGGTGCGCGGCTTGGCGGGGCCCGGCCGGCCGGCCGGCGCGCGCGGCGTTGCCAGATGCTCCGAAAATGCCCCGCGTCGTTCAAAAGATGAACCAACCGGGCGCGGCTTCCAGCGCGGCCAGCGCTTCCAGCTCCAGCCCACTTCGCCTCGCCTCGCACAGTGGGCCAGAAGACCGGCGCAGGCGGCCAAAACTCTAGACGCGTTTTGAGAGAGTCGCTAAACAGGACTCGAACCGACAGTGTGACCCCACCAATGGATTCCTCGTTCGGAGAGCAGTCCATTGGTGGGATCACACGTTCGGTTCGAGTCCCATTTAGCGACTCTGGAGCTCAAAACGCGTCCGGGATTTGGGCCGCCTCCACCGGTCTTCTGGCAAATCCACTGTGCCTCGCGGTGCCTCCAGGCGGAACTTTGCTGGAAGCTGGCCGCGGCTCGGCCCGGCCCAGCCAGAGGCAGCCAGAGGCCCAGCCCGGCCCTGGAATGCCAGGCCATGCCAGGCCGCCAGTCCGCCGGTCCGGTCGGCCCACACGCCGCGTAGCCGCGTAGCCGCGTAGCGCAGCACCGCGCAGCGACGCGCGGCCAACTCCTCGCGAGGCATCGCGCTCCCGATCCAAACGCACACGCACACACACACACACACACACACTCACAGACGCGGCGCCAGGGCCAGGACGGACGGCGCCAAACAGAAAGCACTTGGGCACGCCGCCGTGGACTCTGGGGACTGTGGGCGCGTCCGAATGCCCAGAGGGCGCAGTGCTGCGCAATGCTGGCCGACTGGAGCGGCAGAGACAAGGACCGTCCGGACGGACGTGCCTCCGGACGCGCGGTGGCACTGCGGAACGTGAGACTCACCCGTGTCCATGGCGACGAGGGTGAGGATGTGCTCGGCCTGCGCCTCGCGGTCCAGCGCGCGCTGCAGCGTGATGTCGCCGGTGTTGGCGTCGATGCGGAAGAGGTCCGGGTCGCCCTCCTTGAGGAAGTAGCGCACCTGGCCGTTGAAGGGCGGCGAGTCGGCGTCGAAGGCGCGGACGCGCAGCACGAAGCCGTTGGGGGGCGGCACCACGCCCTCCACGACGTAGGCCAGGTAGGGCGAGTCCAGGAACGTGGGCGGGTTGTCGTTGATGTCGGCCACGTTGACGGCGATCACGGCCGTGTCGAAGCGGCCCGCGTCGCCGGCGCAGTCCTCGGCGCGCACCGTCAGCACGTAGCGCGCCTTGCGCTCGAAGTTGAGGTTCTTGGCGACGCGCACCGCGCCGCCGTCCTCGCTGATGGAGAAGTCCCGGTTGTCGTCGCCCGACCAGATGGAGTAACGCACGCGCCCGTTGTCGCCGTCGTCGAGGTCCGTGGCGGACACCAGCAGCACGCTGGTGCCGATGGACGCGTTCTCCGCCACCGTGGCCGAGTACTGCTTGGGGTCGAATACGGGGGAGTTGTCGTTCTCGTCGAGGACGCGCACCAGGACGTCGGCGGTGGTGGCGCGCGGCGGGTCGCCGCGGTCGCGGGCGGTGACGGTGATGCGGTACGCGGGCCGGGACTCGCGGTCCAGGCGGCCCGCCACCCGCAGCAGCCCGTCGGCCGCGCCGAGCGAGAACATGACGTCGTCGTCCTGGCTGGCACCCAGAGCCGCGCCGTCCGCGTCCACGGCCGCCACGGCGTCCAGGGAGTACTCCACGTAGCCGTTGCGGCCCTCGTCCTTGTCCACGGCCTTCACGGCCAGCAGCACCGTGCCCGGCGCCACGTTCTCGCCCACCGACGTCTCCGACGGCGTGATGAACTCCGGGGCGTTGTCGTTGACGTCGCGGACGGTGATGGACACCTGGAGCAGAGTCAAACACTTAGTCAAGTTCCCCCCGGACGGCTCTGCGTAAAGTAGCTTCGGGACTGTTTAGAAAACGCAACACGGGCGGAGGCAGGGTTCGAACCCGGGACCTACCTGAACAGTGGAGGAGAGGCGAGGGCTGGGCGGCTGGGCACTGTCCGTGGCCGTGACCACCAGGTTGTAGCTCGACTTGGCCTCGCGGTCCAGCGCGCGCCGCGTCAGGATGGTGCCGTTCGGGGACATGGAGAACTCGTCCGCGCCGTCGCCCGCCGTGATGGCGTACTCGATGCGCCCGTTGGCACCTGCGACGACAGAGACAGTCAGTACCACTGTGAAGAGACCGTACAGTGGGCCAGAGGACCGGAGGAGGCGGCCAAAACGCTAGACGCGTTTTGAGCTCCAGAGTCACTAAAAGGGACTCAAACCGAACGTGTGACCCCACCAGCGGATTCCTCGTTCGAAGAGCAATCCATCGGTGGGGTCACACGTTCGACTCGAGCCCTGTTTAGCTCCTCTGGAACTCAAAACGCGTCCGGGATTTGGGCCGCCTCCACCGGTCCTCTGGCCCACTGTGCGCCTGCACTGCGTAAGCCTCGTGTACTCACCCGAGTCCAGGTCGGTGGCGGAGACGGTCACCACGGAGGAGCCGGCGGTCACGTTCTCCCAGACCTCGTCCGAGTAGCTCATGGGGTCGAAGAGGGGCGCGTTGTCGTTCACGTCCAGCACGTTGATGAAGACCGTGAGCGTGGACGACAGCGAAGGCCGGCCCGCGTCCGCGGCCTGCACCACGAAGATGTAGTGCTGCACCTGGAACAGCGACACCACTCGTAAAGCACCGCACGCAAAGCACGCGAGGCGAAGCGAAGCACGCGGCGAGGTAAACCACGCGTTTTTCTCTTTCCTCTGCAACATTCCCCGTGCCCGATACACCATTTTCCCCGCAGTGGGCTTTACGCACGGAGTAAACGGACCACAAACGCCTCTAACAAGTTGCGAATGATCTTGGTTCGACTGGCTACCTTCCCTCTGGATCACGGGCATTTATTGAGCCGTCACTTTACGAAACTGAGACTGTCGCAATCGGCATGACCCCGGAGGTGCTCTGGAGGCAAGCGACTTTGTGGACGTGGACCGCGTGGGCGGTCCCTCGCGCTCCGAGTATCCACGGCGCCATGCTGCCCCACTGATAGCAGCAGCAACATTAGAGCCCCGCGGAGTGCCGCGGCTTGCCGAAGCCCCGGGCGAAACCGCGACTCCACGCTGACAGCCTGACAGCGTTACAGTGCTACGCCCCGTTGCGTCACTGCCTTATTTTGATTTGTATGTGCGTCGCGTCGTGGCGCGGCGTTGCGTGGCCCGCCCTGCCGTGCCGTGCCGCGCCGCGCCGTGCCCCGCGGGGTCCACACAGGGCGCTCGGCGGCCCCACGCAGGGCCCAGCAGGATCATTCCGAAAATTGCTCTCGTCGCTCTGTCTCTCTCGCACTGTCCCGCAGGGGTGCGAGAGAGACAGAGCGACGAGGCACTGCCGCCGACATGGCGGTGACCCCGCGCGTACAGTACCGCGCGAGACGACGTGACCCAGTTGATACACACTCTTTGCGCAAGTCGGATCCCGCGACAAATTCGAAGCTAAGTGCCCCGGCAGGCGGGCGACGCACATGGGCCAGAAGACCGGTGGAGGCGGCTAAAATTCTAGACGCGTTTTGAGCTCCAGAGTCGGTAAGCAGGACTCGAACCGAACGTGTGACCCCACCAATGGGTTGCTCTCCGAACGAGGAATTCATTGGTGGGGTCACATGTTCGGTTCGTGTCCTGTTTCGCGGCTGTGGAGCTCAAAACGCGTCTAGAACTTTTGCCGCCTCCGCCGGTCTTCTGGCCCACTGTGCGACGGTGTGGCGTCCAGAAGGCCCAGCACGCCCAGTAGCCGATAGAGACCGTCTGGCCGTCTTGGCTTGGCCTACATCCATACGCGCCGCGCAGTAACTCATGCCGGGCAGCAAATATAAATAACACTTTTGCGTGACAAAACAGCCTGCATAAATCTGGCGGGCGGGGCGCCACCGTCGCTCTGTCTCTCTCGCACCCGCACGGTGCGTCCCGTGAGTGCGAGAGAGACAGAGCGAGAGCGACATGCATCACGGCTTGTAGGCCGCGGGGCGATTCCGGACCGTGTCTCTCTCGCACCCCTGCGGGCCTGCGGGGCGCCCCGTGAGTGTGAGAGAGACAGAGCGACGCGGCCTGCAGGGGCGCTAATTGATTGGATACTGGGAAAAGGATTTCTCCAATGTCACTGGTCCCTTCATCAAGACGAAAGGCTACTTGAAGTCGTCCACGTCGTCGGCTTGCCTCATGCCCGACATGTCGCGGCGGCCCTGGCGGCTCTATGCGTGTCGCGGGGCGGGGCGGGGCGGGGCAGGGCGGGGCGGGGCGCCGCCGGACAAGTTGTCGGCCGAGACACGCCGCCGCCGTGCCGCCGCGCGAAATCAATAGGTAATTATGAGATGCTAGTGCGTTATTTTTAGCGCCGCTCTCAATGCAGGCGTGCAAGGGCGCGGCGGGCGGGGCGGGGTGCGGTGGGGTTGGGTAGGGTGTGGGGTGTGGTGGGTAGGGTGGGGCGGGGCGGGGCGGGGCGTGGTGGTGCGTGGGCCCCGCGGCGGCGCGCACCAACTCATTGAGAATGTAGCGAATACACACTCGAGATGGAGTTGCATTGGCGGCGCGCTTCGCAGAGTGGTGGAGCGGTTCGCCTCAAAGCCCGCGGCCTACGCGTCTCGCCGTCGCGTCGCCACTGCAAGTGCCGCGGACTGCGAGGACGCCGAGTCACTTCGACTCTAGACGCGTTTTGAGCTCAAGAGTCGCTAAATGGAACTCGAACCGAGCGACTGACCCCACCAATGGATCGCTCACCGAACGAGGAATCCATTCGTGGGGTCATACGTTCGGTTCGAGTCCCATTTAGCGACGCTGGAGCTCAAAACACGTCCGTGATTTTGACCGCCTCGGGTCTTCTGGTCCACCGTGAGACAGTGGAGTCGCCGAGTCCCGCCAAAGTCGCGGCCGCACCGCACGCACACTGTGGGGCATGGCACGGCGCGGCGGGGCTCCTTTCCCCTTTTTACGAGGCGCAGTGAATGTAATCTAATTAAAACTACCGCCTTTACCCATCGAACGGCTTGGCGCGCCGGCGGGGGAGGGGAGGGGGCGGGGGCAACCTCACGACTCGCATCTCACGTCGGCATCAGACGCCGCACAGTCTATACACGCTCCCCCCTCCCCCTCCTTCTAGTCCGCGCTGCATAGATAGTATACCAATCCCAAGTGGAGTTGTGGCGAGGAGGCCCCCCTCCCCCCATCCCCCTGTCCACGCCGTGTCGCCAGTGTAGGGGAACAGGGGAAACCGAGCGAGGGAAACACAGCCAGCAGAGGGACGGCGAAAGGTTGAGACTAGGCGACCAAAAGTATGGTTGTAAAATTACTGATGGTTTGTGGAAACTTTTTGAGCAGATGAACAACAACAACAACAACATAGGTCGTTCTTCCAATAAACACCATGCTGCTCCACGATCAAACTATTAGCATGCTAGTGATTTGTTGCTGGGGATGGACTAGGGTTCAGTTTCCCCGTCCTTCACACCGCGTTTCAAGGAGCCGACTTGCAAAGAGAAAAAATAAATTTAAAAACAACAAAAAACAATGTTATCGGGTGGCGCAGGAGCGGCAGGAGCGCACATGCACCAATTTTGTAATGACTTGATTGCAGTTCGCCCGGGAAAGAAGCAGCAGCTATGAAGGGACAAAGAAAAAAAAGGGGAAAAATGGACTCATCCGTCTAAAGATGGAAGCAAGCAGCCATTTTGTTCCGAGCCGGCCAGACGGGCCCTTTGCTTTCCTTCGGGGAGGATCCTTACGACGGTGCGTAAATCACTGACCATCGAACGCAACTACCAAAGTCAGGTGGGACCCAGCGAATATACGCCTTTTTGTCTGGCGTCCACCGAAATCAGAATAGCATCCAAACCAACCGCGTGTGCCAGAAGACCGGCGCAGGTGGCCAAAACTCTAGACGCGTTTTGAGCTCCGGAGTCGCTGCATGGGACTCAAACCGAACTTGTGACACCACCAATGGATTGCTCTCCGAACGAGGAATCCATTGGTGGGGTCACACGTTCGGTTCGAGTCCCGTTTAGCGACTCTGGAGCTCAAAACGCGTCCGGGGTTTTGACCGCCTCCATCGGTCTTCTGGCCCACTGTGCGCCGCTCCGTTATTCCAATCGAAGACCAAATTCCTCCCAGAAAGGAATTATATTAGTGCGAGGGTGCGTAAAATGTAACGGTCAAGTTTAGTGCCGACGGCGCCGTCTCTCTCGCACTCGTGGGGCGTCCGGCAAGGGTGCGAGAGAGACGGCGCGACGTGTTCGGAATGGGACTACCGGGCGAGTAGTAAAACCGAGTAGGACAGCGAAGATAAGCGCAGCCAAGCACCGCGCACCGCGTCCCGGGGGACACAAAGGAAAGCACTTTTTACGACCCAACGAGAGTAGAAACTAGTGTGCCTGCACGGCCGCTGCCTCCTTGCACTGCTTGCACTGCTTGCACTCACAACTCCACTTTCTTTCAATGTATCTTTCATTAAAATTTCCCTCAAATTTCATCTCGCCCCCTAGCTCACCCACTGTGGACTTGATGTTTCCAGGACGCGGCTAAAGTGAACGCGAACGCGACCGCCGCCAGTTCAAAAACACGGTTCAAACGGGTTCTTTGGCGCCACCGTGACGCCGGGACGCCGCGACGCCACAGGGCCACTCCCCTCAGCAGGGGCTTACAGTGTAGTGAAGTGTCCCCGGCCGTTCCATATTCACTATCGGCTCGTAAAAGCGCGGACGCTCTGTCTCCCTCGCACTCACGGGGCGTCCCGTGCAGGTGCGAGAGAGATGGAGCGACCGAGACGACTCTCGGCCCGTACCGTTGTCCACATCGTCCGCCGGACCGACCGGCGTGGACCGACGCACCGCGCGACGATCAGGGCGTCACCGCGGGACGCTCCGGCCAGGACGCACTCCTTAGGATCCTCTGTCACTCTCGCACCCTTGCGGGACGCTCCATGAGTGCGAGAGAGACAGAGTGACGAGAGCAGAGCTCGGAATCAGCCTTCAGAGGAAGAGATTTGGGAATACCCCCCCCCCCCACACACACACACAGAACAAAAAAAGTTCAGCCGGCTGGTGTTCGAACCAGCGACCCTGGGACTCACCTCCTCGTAGTCCAGCCTCGCGGCCAGCGTGAAGACGCCGGTCTGGGGGTGCAGGGCGAACACGTCGTTGGCCCAGTCCGAGACCACGGAGTACGACACCAGCCCGTTGGGGCCCTCGTCCAGGTCCTTGGCCGACACCTGCCCCACCCGGGAGCCGCGGTGCGCGTCCTCGCGCACCTCCATCGAGTACGCCCACTGCGAGAACACGGGCGGGTTGTCGTTCGAGTCCGTGACCTGGGGGGAAAAACAGAGCAGGATGATTATAACAACACCTAGGCAAAATAGAACTGCTGCCCCGTGGGCTGTTCCCCCCTCCCCGCTCCGAGGAGCAATTACGAGTTCACAAAAGGAAAGGAATGCCGGGCGATTGCAACGTCCCTCCGAGCTATCGTTGACCGCAGGCGGCACGGGCCGGCGCGGCCAGGGCGCGGCGCGCGGCCATAGGGCCGAGTGCAGCCGAGTCCAAAGGTGAGGCGGAGCGACTGTGAGTCCGCCTGGACGCCCGGCAAGGCGGCCGCTACAAAGTCACCCAGTCGCCCGCAATCTGCGAGGGAAAGACTGCTCTGCGGACGGTGGAACCAGAGGAACGCAAAACGGGCCTATCTGCACGGGTCTAAAAGGGCAGGCCTACGGGAAGGAAACAAAAAAAAACCTTCTTCTCAAGTTTGACGTTTGCATGGATTTCCAAAAATCTCTTCTTCTTTTCTCTGCAAGTGCACGAACTTTTTAAAATGTTCCTCCATCAGAGTCAACTGTAAAATCTTCCTTCTTCCCACATTTTTTTTTCAGTTTCTTTCCCTAAGCGGCCTGCGTAAGCGTGCTGTTGCCAAGCAAGCAAATCGCGTTCAGTTCGTCGCAAAGCACGACCTGTCCAGCGTTTGGGGAAAGCCGCCATGGGGGAGGGGAGGCGAGGGGGAGGGGAGGGGGGCCAATGACAGCGCGCCTCATGATCCACGGCCAAATGTACAAGGCTCGTGGCGCCGGCGGCTCGGCAGGGGGCTTTTGGAGGGGAGGGGGGCGCCTCCCCCTCTTCCAGTGATTTCGTGACTCAACGACAAATTCACCCTGAGAGCCCGCCTGCGGACTGACCCAGCCAACCAGCGACGAAAAAAAGAGATGTAGAGAATGTGGGGTATTCGAAGGCAGGGCCCGGGGCGGCTCACAGAAGGAGGCGGCCAAAACTCTAGACGCGTTTTGGTCCCCAGAGTCACTAAATAGGACTCGAACCGAGCGTGTGACCCCACCAATGGATTCCCCGTTTAGAGGGCAATCCATTGGTGGGGTCACACGCTCGGTTCCTGTTGAGCGACTCTGGAGCTCAAAACGCGTCTGGGATTTCGACCGCCACAGGCGGCCTTCCGGCCCACTGCATGGCCCAGGGCTTACCTGGATGGTGACGTAGGCGTCGGTGGTCTGCACGCCGTCAGAGGCGCGGACGAGCAGCCGGTACGCGTCCTGGGCCTCCCGGTCGAGCGCGTCGCGCAGCCGGATGACCCCGGTGCGCGCGTCCAGGGTGAAGGGCGAGGACGCCGTCGAGGACGCCGTCGAGGACGCCGTCGAGGCCGTGGCGTCCTCCACCAGGGCGTAGGACAGCTCGCCGATGGAGTCCGCGTCGGTGGCGGCCAGGGTGGCGACGGCCTGGCCGACGGCCAGCTCCTCGGACACCAGGAAGCTGAGCGGCGAGCCGCGGAACGACGGCGGAGAGTCGTTGCGGTCCAGGACGGCGACGGTCACCTGCAAACAGCAACAACAGCAGCGTGAACCTCCGGTCGAAAATCGGGCGCCGCCGCCGCCACATGCAGCAGTACAAACAAAAACAAAAACAAATCCACGTTTTGGCGCGGCAGGCTGCTGCATATCCGGTACGTCCGCGCGGCAAATTTATAGCAAGTTCGCGGGGCCGGGCCGTGCCGTGCCGTGCCGCGCGCCCTCCTTCGACGGGATAACAAACCCGCGGCCAGTTGCCTCGGCACGGCACGCCACGGCACGCCACGGCGCGGCACTGTCCGTCTCGAATAGGAAACTGGTTCAAATAAGAGATCCCATAAAACTTGTTCGTGTCGGCATCTCGTCGTCTCGCCGTCTCGTCTCGTCGACTCGCAGTGCAGTCGCGCACTCCGTCCTCGCAGTGCAGTGCAGTGCTCACTCTCGCGAGCACACTGCCAGGCAGCCCCCATCCTCTCTCTCTCTCTCTCTCTCTCTCTCCTCTCTCTCTCTCTCTCTCTCTCTCTCTCTCGACGCGAAGGGTCATCCACGTGTTGCATAGGCGAGCGGTAAAAACCTCATGGAAATTGCCCTTGTCACACCGTCGGCACGAACGTGACTGCCCCACCGCCTTTTACCGTGGGTCCTCCGATCCGCGAACGTTTCAGTGCGTGTGTGTGTGTGCGCGCGTGTGTGCGTGTGTGTGTGTGCGCGCGTGTGTGTGTGTGTGTGTGTGTGTCGGCGTGTGAGTGTGTCTCTCTGGAAATGTGCTGCCTCATGTCCATCTCGATCTCACGCTCATTTCTGATCGGATGCGTGCCCCGTCCTGTCCGCCCCCTCCCCCCTTCTCCCCTCCCCCTCTCCCCCGCGAGCTCTCAATCCCCTCCCTTCCATCTTTCCATTCCGCCTCTACTAGCCACGCCTCAACCGATATTAGAACCGTAGTACTCCCGAAACGGGTCGAAAATAAAAGAGTCACACAAAAGACGCGCCTAAGTTGTTCCAAAACACGGTTTCCCTTACATCAACTTTCCGACCACGAGCCTACCTGCACACTTGCAACCGTAGAGAAAATGTTCGTTCGAAAATGGTTATTTTTGGTTACTTTGACTCAGAAATCAAACTGGCAATCATTCGCACAACTACGCGAAATTTGACCGATTTCTTCTTCGTTTAATTCGACTATTTAAGAGTGTGTCTGCGGGGGCGCCTCCTGAGATTCGACGCGGAATGTTTGCCCGTCTGTCCCGCGTCAGCTCAGCGTAACCTCAAATCTGACGCCCCCCCCCCTTTCTACCCACATACCAAACCGGCATCCCTCGTCATGCGGAATCGTTTCACGATTTTGTTTGACATAGCTTTTATTACTTTGCAGTTATGAGGCGAATTGGAAAACACGAAGGATCTTCGCAGAGAGCGGTGTGAATGTTAGCGAGACAAGTAGGCAGACGGACGGACCGGGCGAACGGACAGACGGACAGACAGACAGACAGACAGACAGACAGACAGACAGACAGACAAGCAGACAGCTGCAGGAATGACAGGCCCCCGGGCAGCGAGGGTCTTCTCGGTTTCGAATTAAAAGTAATGAACAAATCATAAAATGTTGGCGAAAAATGAATAGAAATAAACCCTCGGGGCAAGATGCGAGAGTGCGTGCCCCGCAAATCCCTTAGCAACGACCAATAACATTAAAAATCAATGGAGCGTCTAAAACGAATTATCAATCAGGAAGAAGAAGCTCCGGCGGGTTCTGTCAGAGCCCCTGAAGGGAGCAGGGTAGGCAACCCGAACGCACCTGTGCCTTGTTTTGCCTACCCAGAGCGAGCACGGCGGGCCGGCGAAAAGTCCAGGCGCGGATTTTGAGCTCCAGAGTTTGTAGAGCAATCCATCGGTGGGGTCACACGTTCGGCGCGAGTCCCATTTAGCGACTCTGGAGCTCGAAACGCGTCTAGAGTTTAGGCCGCCTCCACCAGTCTTCGCGGCGCTCCTGGCTGCGATTAGTCGCCATTTTCACGTCAAACAGATATTTTCACACCACAAAGCAGCGACCCTGCCAGACGGGAGCGGTCAAAACGACGCGCCGGATCGACTGACAAAGTTTGCGTGGAAACGACATCGAATCCACGACGGACCTCCACGCGCGAAAACGACGATACATCGACGGTTTGGCGCGTCCAATGGACGGACTTTTCGAGGAATTGACGTGGATTCGGCTGAGTCGGGGGTCTGTGGAGGGGGCGGGGATGGGAGGGGGAGGGGGAGGGAAAGGGGGAAGGGGAGGGGGCGCCGTGAGAAAGACGGACTCGTTTCGCCCCGGCTCGCGCCGCCTCATTAAGATTCAAAGCTTTTTGAAAAACTGTCAGACGGTCTGACGAGGAGGCGGCGCGGGATCCACGCACTACAGTCAGAGAGTCCGACTGACGTGCGCTCGTCTGGACGCACGCGGGACGCACGCCGGGCCGTACCACGGGGTGGAGGCCCAACAGCGAGCCAATCAGGGGTCGTGCAATATTAGGTAACGCATTTTCACAGCTCGCTAGAACTCGAAACGAACGTGTGACCCCACCTATGGATTCCTCGTTCGGAGAGCGATCGATTGGTGGGGTCACACGTTCGGTTCGAGTCCCATTTAGCGACTCTGGAGCTCGAAACGCGCCTAGAGTTTTGGCCGCCTACCGGCCTTCCGGCCCACTGCGTCGCACAGTGTAGTCCGTGGCGCCGCTCCAGGCCGGGAATGTCCTCATGGAGGCTCCAGCAGCCTCCGGCGGGGCCTCCGGCGCGGCGCGGGGCTCCAGGAACCGAACCCTGGAACCTGTCCGCAGTGCGGCCGGGCCGTGCTGCCGTGCGCTACCGGGAACGGAGTTAAATGTCGCCCGGCCCCAAACGCACCAACGTCATTTTAATTGAGTTGCTGGGCGTTTTGTCTGCCCTTGCACGGCCAACGAGGACGAGGCGAATTGTACTCTCCCTCCCCTCCCCCTTCCCCGCGCTCTTCCAGTGGGGAGAGAGAGGGGGAGAGAGAGAGTGAGAGAGAGAGAGAGAGAGAGAGAGAGAGAGAGAGAGAGAGAGAGAGAGAGAGAGAGAGAGAGAGAGAGAGAGGAGGGGGGGGGGAAGGAGACTGTACGAGCGAACTCGAGTGGTGGACACTGAGGCTGCGATGAAAGCTTGCGATGTGGCACGAGGGCCGTCCTCGTCCTGCCCGCTCTGACGCAGGCTGGACCGAGGGCTGGACGCAGGGCCTGACCCCAAGGGCTCTCTGCGCCGGTGCTTTCGCTGCTCTGTCTCTCTCGCACTCACGGGGCGTCGCCAGTTTAGGGGTGCGAGAGCGACAGAGAGGCGAAAGCGCAGTTCGGGATCAGGCTACGGGGGGCGCCGCACAGTGGGCCAGAAGACTGGTGGAGCCGCTAAATGGGACTCGATCCGAACGTGTGACCCCACCAATGCATTGCTCTCCGAGTGAGGAATCCGTTGGTGGGGTCACACGTTCGGTTCTAGACCTAGTTGGCGACTCTGGAGCTCAACACGCATCTAGAGTTTTGGCCGCCTCCACTGGTCTTATCTGGCCCACCGTGCGCCGCGGCGGTGGTGTAGTTATCGGTAAAAGCACATCGGTTCGAACAGCGTCCTCCATCTCGCGCGATTCCACTAAGCGCCTCAAAGGCCGGCTAGGGGGGAGGGGGGAGGGGAAGGGGGGAGGGGGAAGGGACTGCAGCTGCAACCGGCTGGTGGCGGCGCGCTGCGTGGCTGCGGGCTGCAGGCGGCACCGTACAGGCTACCACTCCCCTTCACCCCGCCCCCCTCCCCCTCCTTTCTCCGCCTGGCGTCGCCAAGAGGCTGACACGGTAAACATGTTTTAGCAATCACAACGTGCAATGCCGATAACCGCCATGCAGTCCGAGCCGAGCCGAGCCGAGCCGAGCCGGGACGGGGGCGGCGAGCAGGAAGGCGCTCCTCGCTCCTTTTATAAATAAATACGTTTTATCGCGGAGCAAATTCCGCTATTCGATAGAGGCGCCGCGCTATTCTAATGGAGCATCCCACAAGTTGGCACGGCGTCGCGGCGGGGCGGGGCGGGGCGGGAACCTTTTAGCACTAATCTTTGTCCCCGAGAGCGTCCCGCCGTCTTATCCGCCGCGGCCGGCTCTCGGCTTTTTGGTCTGTGACTTAAGACTCCTCGAGAACAAATGTACGCAGCGCCCGGCCGCGTATCGCAAAGCGCGCAACAGTTTCGCTTGGTCGTGCGTTCGGGTCCCCCCCGTCGCGCACGTAAGCGACGCACGGTGCACAGTGGGCCAGCAGACCGGTGGAGGCGGCCAAAGCTCTAGACGTGTTTTGAGCTCCAGAGTCGCTAAACGGGACTCGAACCGAACGTGTGACCCCACCAACACACTAAAGGTTTTTGTACAAATTTTGTACGAGACATCACAGTTTTTTGTGCACACAAACTTTTCGTACAAATTTGTCCGAAGTTTCGCACAAAAAAAGGGAAATTTGTGCAGTTTTTCGTACAAAAATTGTACGAAAAGTTCGTGTGCACAAAAAACTGTGATGTCTCGTACAAAATTGTACATAACATTTAGTGTGAATGGATTCCTCGCTCGGAGAGCAATCCATTGGTGGGGTCACACGTTCGTTTCCAGTCCCATTCAGCGGCTCTAGAGCTCAAAACGCGTCTAGACTCTTGCCCGCCTCCACCGGAATTCTGGCCCACTATGGGGCGCATTATTTACGAGACATTCACTCGCAGCCTTTCCCCAATTCTTTCCTCCGCCACTCGGTGATGGGGATGACACTGGCTCCGTTTTGAAATGATTATTCGGCGGACGCCTTCGCAGACTTCGCAGCCTTCACTCCTACATCGTAAAAGCCTTCAAGGCTCGTAAAGACCCCATTTTTATGTCCGAAAAAAATAATAATAAGATGGACCGAAAATAAACGAACACCGATCGATAGAGTCGATAGCTGGATTTCGATTTGAACGTAATGGGACTCAAATTTTACGGGTGTGTTTCCTCTTCCAAATAGCAGTGCACATTCTTAACCAAAAATTCGAAGCTTTAACTCGAAACGATTCTGTCCCCTAAAAACCCCCAAAGTGTAAAAATGAAAAAAAGAAACAACAACAAAACAAGAGATTTTTTAGCGTGCAAAGGTCAGTCGGAGCCGGAACACATCTCGCCGGTGCGACACATGCAAATCGCACGTCTGCACTGCACTGCATTTGCCTCGCCTGTCGGCCACTGGGAAAAAAGAGAGAGGGAGAAGATAATGGATTGGAACTAAACCTATGCGTTTAGAAAAAGATAAGATTCAAGTGCACTACTTCTATACGCACATCGATGCCTGTCAAAATTAAGTTAAGAGGCATTCGAAAAACAATTTCAGGATCGTGTTTTGAACGGCAGGTAATTTGGAAACATCTGAGTTGTGCACCATGCAGTACCGTATGAAAATTGGCCACCCACAGGAGCTGTTTGCTGCAGGTCCAAACATACGTAGTGAAGTTAAAACCGAAATTTAAGTTCCGTCTATAAAAATGGACTCGCAAAGAGAGCGGCTGGGTTCTGGATTTGAATTTAGGAACTAAGGCAGGAAAAGGGCTGTGCGTGCCGCGGTGCGCCCAGCCGGCCTAGCCAGCCTAGCCAGCGCTGAGTGCTAACACTTGTCCGCCACTCCCGGCCAGAGCGCGGCCAAGCGGGCCGGGCCTTGGGCCGTGCAGGCCGAGCCGAGCCTCGCCGACGGGGCGGACAGCGGACAGAACGCGATAGGCACAACGGAACTGCACCAAGACGTCCTGAGTAGTCAGCGAGTGTTCCGGGGCGTCGGTCGGTGTCCAAGGGTGTCAGTAGGTGTCTACACTGGGCCAGGAGGCCGGTGGAGGCGGCCGAACTCGACCGCGTTTTTTGAGATCCAGAGCCGGTAAATGGGACTCGAACCGAACGTGTGACCCCACCGACGGATTGCTCTTCGAATGAGGAATCCATTGGTGGGGTCACACGTTCGGTTCGGGTCCTGTTAAGCGACTCTGGAGCTGAAACGCGTCTAGAGTTTTGTCCGCCTCCACCGGTTTTCCGCCACCGGTTTTCCGGCCCACTGTGCAAGGGTGGCCGCGGCATGCGCGGCGACTAGAGAGGCAGACTTGAATCCCATCCGGCGAGGGCGCCACGCCGCGCCACGCCGCGGATCAGCGAGCGCCCCCGGCAAGGGCGCGTCCGAACGCACCGCCCCTTCGCCCCTCTCACTGCCCCGCTACGGAGCGGTGCCTCGCGGTGCCTCGCGGTGTTTCGGACGCCCCCGGGGCAATCAGCTGAGCCCCGTCCGAG